TAGGCAGCGTGGTTCGGGCATGTGAAAATATTTTAGAAAACCCGATTCCGTTGTTAAACGTCATTTATGTGACAAATTTTGAGTGTTCGATGTGCAAATTCTACTTCGAGATATATATCATAAAGAAAAACGGCATCAACTGCACACTTGTTGTATGGCATTGAATATCCGAATTTGCAATGAAATCGTGAACAATATATTCCGAAATCGACCGAAAACTGATTCTGAATTTATCATTGTAAGTTTTCATTATCAGCAACCTTGGTACTTCCATTATTTTTCACATTTATTGATTCGTTACCCACACAGTTGGTAATATTTTTTTTAATTAAACGCCGCAAGAGATAAATTGCGATGACGTAATCATATTTGACGATATTGTACGGTATGAAGATGATTTGTACCTGCGATGTCAGTTAACGGTTAAAATAAATCATAACCGTTAACCAGCTGAAATCGGTTAACCGGTTAACCATTCCCAGCCCTAGTATTACTATTACGAGACGAATAAACATACATACATACATGTGGAGGAGGAGGGGATTTAATATATACGATTCCATAATATGGGCAGGAACTTCTTTTATTTTACGTTAGCATAAAATAGGACCTATATATATACAAAGTTTTCATAACGAAAAGAACTTTTTACTGGGAACGATTTTCGTGGATGTATGATTCGCACTACATATGAATTGTGAAATTTCTTCGGCAGACAAACACCCAAATTTAAAGAAATTGACTTTGCCCTCATGGCGCTACTTGTAGGACGACGATGCTTTAGTTGCGATTTTGTACTTAGTTAAAGGGTAATAAAATTTTTAAGATGACATCCTTTTTGATCACAAAATCTTGATTTCCATCCGTATCCTAAAATAGTTTTGCCAGACTGCCGTCTGGGTCGGACGTGTTTTTGTTGCTCTGTTAGATAAAAGATCAATCAATGCTGTTGGACTGAGAATGCTACGCGCTGTGTGTTTCGGTATTTACTATTAGATTTGTATCTCGTGATATCAACATGATCAAGGCCCATCCACAGGAATTAAAGAAGTTTATGGATAAAAGATTGGATTTAAAGTTTGTGTTTGGCAGTCGTCGGGTGCGGTCGCATTTTTGAACGGCGCAGAAAGATTAGATTGACAACAATGAACCAGCACTTAAGGAATATCAACAAGTAAAGGCCGAAATATGAAATTACATGGCAGCATAAAGGCAACATACGAACATCATAACAGAATCGAAAGATGATTACATCAGGGATTGATTCAGATATTTTATTTTGTGACAAAGAGTATGATATACTGCTATTTCTAGAAATTCCGCTTGAATACTGAGTATTCAACTATATATGTGTAAATAGTTTGCAGTGTAACTTACCGTGTAACATTTTTAAACATTCATTTAGTGGCATATTTTTGATTTGTTCTCTCTCAACAATGTTGACCACGTCAATGTATCAATTAGGCCATAGGTTCTCAAAGTGCTCCGTACGGAGCCCCAGGGCTCCGCGAGAGAAACCCAGGGGCTCCGCGAGCTATTCGGTTACTTTTCAAAATACTGACTTGGCTAATTTTGTAACTGTTCAAAGAAGCAATAACAGCTTTGATAAAATTGGACAACAATATAGCCTCGAAATATGGCAAAAAGGCGGAATTAAAAAATGACATTATTTATAAGTAGGAGCACAGCCAGGATTCTTAAGAGGGAGGGGTTCAAAATTGGAATTGGAAATTTCTACGCAACATTCTTCATTTAAATTGCATTTAAAGTGTCTTGTCGTAATAATTCTAATTGTGCTCATCGTCACTCACGTTTGATTCGAGATTACTATTAGGATTACTAAAATGAAAGAATACTATTCTAAAACAAGAGAGCTACGCACAAATATATGGACACGTTAGACCAGAGCGAATCAGTCTTTACCGGTACCTTTGACGCTACCGGTACCCTCAAAAAAGTTCTGAATTTCCAGTAGCAAGAATTTTGCCGAATCAAAACGTACAGCCAGTCATGACACTGACTAAAATCCGTGTTCCCATGGATAAAAAATAATACAGCAAAATTTTAGACGAAATATCAAATTTCATAGAATTCACGCAAAATTTTGAAATAAATAAAAGTAATAGCCTTCTAGCGAAGAAATTAATCTTTAACCACTGAAAATTCCAAAGCAATTGGTCCAGTATTCGAAGAGAAAAGCGATTTTTTAAAAACGTGTCAAAGAACAACAACAACATAATATTGAAACGATCGTTATGGCCACTAAACGTGTCCAATAACATAAAATACCCAGGGTCTGGGCAAAATATGAAGGATTGTAATTTATTTTATTGCATGCGGCTAAAAGGTACAACGCATGCACAATTGACTGTGTTTCGATTTCGCAGTTACTATGATGAATAACCAAAGTAAACATAAAACTAAATTTTGTGATTCACAATGTCTATAAAAGTCTGCTGAAACAACACTTATAGTGTTATCTCCCATTTAAGTTTCAGTTTTAATATTTTAGAATGCCGCTTTCCAATCAAGAAATTCGAGTTGCGGATTTACCCCTTTATTAATTATTATTTTTAGTATTTCGTCGCCGATGACTATAATATGATAACATGTTTTTTTACATTGAACTCATAATTCCCCACGAGAACAAAAAAGCAATTATCGTTGTCATTGTGGAACAATACACGTATATGTCAATGGAAATTTTTGATTTAGGAAGAATAAACATCGGCGTAAAGATGTTTAAGGTTTAAAACACGCCATACTGACGAAAACAATCGGCGATTGTAACAAAATGCAATCGCGCGCGTTTTTAGCGCCTTTTAAGTCTTCCAAAAATGTCAAAAGGGAAAAGATTCGACCCCTAATTTATTAATATGTTTGTCAAGTGTCAAATTTATAGCTTTAGTATATATAATTTATCTTTGAAATTTAGATTCATTTATGACTTGTATTAACCCTATTAAAAAGGTGTTGCATTCAAATTAAGTAAAGTACTTTTAACTTACTCAGGAATATTAATTGGAAAGTAACAATTTTAACATTTATTTTGGGGCTCCGTGAATAATGGTCAACCTTTTCAAGGGCTCCGCAACATCAAAAGTTTGAGAACCCCTGAATTAGGCTACAGACCTGCTCACGTGTGATTAGTGTTTTTCCTAATAATTGCTTTTATGAGTGTCCGCACACCGAATTGCCGCCATGGTTTTGCGTTTGTTTGTATATTAAACCACTTATCACCTTTTCCGCAATGCCCAATCTAGCAATCAGTGTAGTTTTTCATGGCTTGGTTTTTCTTAAAGCTTTCATGGCTTCATGAGTGTGACTATCGTCGCAAATTTATAGCATTCCCCTCCCCACACTATCTTTGCATGAGGTTGTAGGTATTGGTCATTATCAACGTAATTGTTGAAAGAGAGTACAACAGCACGAAAGTTTATTACTATCGTGTATTTTGTTTGTTAAGTTTGGCCCAAGCCTCATTTAATTGGGCTTGTGTTTTTGTGTGCGTGCTGGTGGGCAGGCACATGAGATACTTCATGTTTTAAACTTTTTTGTAGGTTTTGCTTGCCCTCCAGAATTCTCCATTTTTAATTTAGGTTTGTTATGGAGTTTTCGAAATAAACATCTATCTATCTAAGTCCAAGCTATGCCCCCCCGTGCAACCTGTCTTGCATAGGACTCCACAATAGCCCGTGCTGATGTCTATCTGCGGCGATACCGGCGGTTTGTTTTTACGTAGTGGTGAGTATGAAAACCAGGGATACGTGATGGTGCATTTTTGTGAGAGTGGATCTTTTCGGCAATGCAGTTGTGCGGGAATGGTGATACTTTGGAAGAAAAACTCTTGGGGCATTTGCTGCCCCCCCCCCCCCCCCCCCCCCGGCCCGTTAGAATTATTTCCTCAACAGAAGAACTGTATACCGGTACTCTTTATTATCTTAAGTGATTTTGAGGTACCGGTATAAAAGCCCTAAAGTTAAAGAGATTCACGTATTTTTGTTTGTTTATTACTGGCCCAAGCCACGTTCAAAAAGGTTAGCCCTAGCCTCACGACTTGACTGTTCTCAACGTTTTTATTGTTGCTTCATTTAATTGGGACGGTTGGCCAGGTAAGTTATGGTGTAAGCTAGAGTACCGGTAGTTTTTGTGTCTTTGTACAGTTGTAATGCGGGGTGCAAAAATGTTTCTTTTATTATGACATGAACTATTATCCTGGTTTTATTTATTGCAGATATGATATTTGAGATGACTGTATGATATTTTCTTGCACATTAGACTGGTCACTGGTAGAAGTCTTTATTCTGTTATCAGTGTATTATTACTTATCGATTTTAATCGGTAAGTATGTTGATAGGTTTTTGTCTGTTAGATGAACGCCATATCTCACGAAAGCGAGATAGAATCTGCTCCAGATTTTGCATGTGCATTCATCATATCTCGGACCAGAAACCTATTGATTTTGGACGAATTATGTCGATGTCGGACGAATACAATTTTTTGACATGTCAAACTTAACCCCCACCTGACTACGCCATCCAAAAATTACGTTACTACAAGGTAATAGAGCCCTTCAAACTATACGAACTGCCATCCAAGACACGCAGACAAGCACCCAAAATCAAACACCTATTTCTCTCGTCGCTACGTTCCCAACAGGAGAGAGATCGATGATGTTAGTCAGTTCTTTATCGTAAGCGCCGATGCCATTTTGGGCGATCATGCGTATATTTGGCAAGCTCTATGACGTGATTGTGATGTCGTAGCGACGTAATTTTTGGATGGTGTAGTCAGGTGGGTGTTAGGATTGATACGCCCACTAGAAGTATGTTAGGTTCGAAATTACATGAGATCCTTATTGGTCACCTGTGGCTTCGCTCAAGCATCATTGTCTTTAATTTCTGATTGATTTCTCATGACTTTGCCCTGAGCGAATATTTATTAAAAAAAAAGTTAAAAACAAATTATTTTATTTAGTCTATGCTTTCATTACAATATCATTTTTTTGCATTCTCCTCTAGTATAAATCTAGAGCGTTTTTATCAAAATTTTAATGATGGAGATTGCATTGGGAGCCACATACTCAAGTTACGAAGAATTTGAATCTGCTTATTATAAGTTTATAAATAAAAACAATTTGGATTTCAAAGTACATCAAAGTAAGTCACTAAAGAACTCATCGTTGTCATATTCTGCGGAAGTTTTGGAGCTTATGAAGCCATTGCGATACCAACATATCGTCTATACATGCTCTATGCGTGGATATGATAAACGGCCAGGATTCTTACAGGCTTGTGGTGCTGTGGTTGATCTACGATTGGATAAACACCTAAAAAAATTGAAAGTGGTAAAATTGTGCCTTGAACATGACGATTCCTGTTGCCAAGTACAGTATTGGAAACGTCGTCAAAATAAGTCTCTAAACGATGAAAAACTTCAAAGTGATGTCCAAATTATTGACATACGAACAGATAGAACCAGGACAACTCCTCGGAGGAAAACTTTTGGTTTCAATCCAAAATACACAGACGATATTTTACATGATAATCAGAAAACTATAAAGAGAAGTTCCTCTTCTGATAATGGTCCAAATCAAAAGTTTCCAAAAAATGAAAGCGCCAGCAATGACTCAACTAATCTGGAGGAATATATAATCGAAGAGGGAGACTGTAATATATCTGATTTTTCTGAAAACGATGAATTTCCTTCATTAGTGTTCCGATCAAGTCGACAAGTTCAATCGGATATAATTTCCACCCACACCAGACAAAATAATGATTTTATCCAACATAGCTCGCATCAGACTGATAGTCCGGAGATTACAAAAGTCAGAGGACATACAAATAACACAATAGCGACATCTAATGGTTCTCATTCACAAAATTTTTCTCCGATTGTTAAATCTGATGTATCAGATTCCGCTGATTCATTGTTTTTTTCCTCCTTATGTGCTGAAGTTCAAAAACTCCCTTATCGTGCTAAAAGTGTTTTAAAACTCAAACTTCTGCAAATGGTGAATGAAACAATCTTAGAACATGAAGAATCTTGAATTGGGTGGAGATTGGAAGGATTGAATTTTCATGTTCACCCTGGAGAAAGGAAAGGGTTAAGATGGCTTAATCCCATGTTAAACCATGGTTAAAGGAATCAAGTCACTGAATGGCAGCCTATTATGCAAAGATTGAGAGGAAGCGTGGAGCACTATTGTTGATTAGCCAATAAGACGGCTTAATCATACAGCGAATCATGATGAAAGAACTCCAATGCTCTGAACAGCACGCTCTGTTGCTTCACCGCAGTGCTGTAGATCTAGAGGAAATTTACAATTGACCCTGGCTCTGGCTCAAAACAAATTTTGGTTGGAAATGTAAAAAAAGCATTTTTCTGTATTACTGCTTCTGTATGAGCTTGAAATGCATTTTATACCCTCAATATGCTCGTAAACCCATGTTTTCCAGTCTGCAGGCCGACCCGCTAACTGTTACAGTCGAACTTGGCAATTATAAATTTCAGAGCCTTCGTTTGTGATGTCATGTTGTAAAATATTTAGACTCCAGTTCCATACTGAGAAAATCAAAAGTTGATATCAAAACTGTGCCACATGCAAGCCTTTTTTAATGGACTGTTGGTAAAAGTAATGCTTCTTGAGTTCTGTCGTATTTTAGCAATATTGCAAATCTGACTCCTGTGAAAAACATTCAAAAATCAGCCCCGCATCCTAGGTTCACAGATTACAATTCCATTATGAAGTATTACTGAACTCTTGCTGTGGAAGTTTGTTTACTGCAATTGCTGTTCAGTTTTGACTAAAAAATGCTATTTCACCGTAAATGAACTCATTAAAAGCACTAGAGAATTTCAACACGTTTCACACTGATCATAGTTCAAGTCAGTGATTCCGAACCAGGGGCCCACAGAGCAGTTAAAAGGGGCCACAATGCTAGGGGTGCAAAATTGACTCTACAGGAAAACTATCCGTTCTTCCTAGTTTTATTGCTTGATAAGGTTATTCCACATGTTGTTTTCACTTTGTTGAGAATGAATTGTTTGAACAATAATATGATTTGGAATCTACCAATCAAAATAAAACACTATAAATACCACTGGAATGATAAACAGGGCTATGAGTGCTAAAAGCTTCCAGAAGGGGCCACTGCTCCAAGTAATAAGTTTTGAATTTTCCTAAATCAATGTTTAAGGACACTTTTGTATAGGTTATCTATCTTTTTCAATCAGAGTTAGAATGACCAGAAAAGCAAAAGTTTCAACTGCTAATGATATTTCCACACTTTGTGTATTAAACTGTCATTTCTCCTTGAGCTGTTGTTTCTCTTTGTACACTTCAAATATTTCCAAAGTCTTGCGAAAATCGTTTTACTTCCAACATTATAAAAGAGAGAATATTATTTAAACACTATTTATCTCAACATTCTGCATTATCACTGATTAAGTTTTCAATGTTTTGTAATTTGTATTTCATTCATATGAAGAACCACAGCCTCTCGTCCGGTTACCAGTCTATGTCGGGTATGAGACTAGTTTGTTAGTTATTTGTTTCAGATTCTGTCAATTTTTGAGGCGCACTTAGCAAAGATTGGAAACCACTGCCTTAGTTAAATAGACAATTTTAGGAAATTGTCAAGTGCCCCTGTTTACTTATGACCGAGTCTTGTTACCCCCTTTTTGCTTCAAATTTTATCATGATAATTTATTTTAATATTATTTTTAGTATTTCAATATTTTATTTGTATCTCGGAACGCTCATTGGTTAGGTTGCAGAAACACGGCATTACATATAAATGTTGCTGCTGCTTCAAATTTGGAATAACTGAGCATTACTTGAGACTAACATGCAACAAGTCAGAGAGTGCAAGATGCACCCCATGAGGCATATTTACCTATATAGGATAGGATGATTTTACATATTTATCTCGGGGGAGAGGATAGCCGATGAGACAGCTCAACCATATGGCGAACCACGGCCTCTCATCGGGTTACCAGTCCATGTCGGCAGTGGTGGGATTCAACCGGTTCTATAGAACCGTCTCACGTAATTTTATGAGATCAGCGAACCGGTTAACATTACTTGTTACTGCCACTGACTTTTTAGCAACAGAACCGAATGAAAAATATGACTTTTGTGATGGAACAGGCTAACAAAAAATTTGAATCCCACCACTGCATGTCGGGTATAGTATTAGTTATTTGTTTTCAGAGGTATGGACTTTGTGGTGGAGGGAGCCGTAACAGCGGTCACAATAACCATATGGCTAACAACGGCCTCTCGTCCGGTTACCATTTCATGTCGGGTATGGGATTAGTTAGTTATTTGTTTTCGGAAGCATGGACTCTTGAACTTATTTGTGTTTTATGTTACATGTTCCGCAGCTCACGACTAGCGTTATATTTGAGGGGAATTTGACGTTTTAATACGAGTCAAGTTTATTTTTTCCAACCAGTAAAAGACAAAAATCATGCAAAAAATATAAGAAAAAAATGGGTACTCTTGAAGTATGCGCACCAAGATGTCGCATAACCTGGTACACAACCCGAGTTCAGGTAACTTGGTATGCAGGAGGACGCACATACATTTTCTGGAATGCGAGAGTTCTATATATGAGGAATCCGTTCTTAAAACTTTCTCACTTTCAAACTACCCTTTCTTTTTAATGGCCCCAAACCCCAATTTAACAAGCGTCAGAATTTCTTGGTGACAAATTCAAGGCATTGAGACCTTAGCAATATTTTGGTAGAACGTTGCCAGGTGACAGTTGTTGTTCGACAGTCTGACAGAGACACTTTATTTTTTCGTCAAACCAGCAAACATACCGATAATAAAACAACACATTATGCAGTTTTCGGTAGATGACAGGGTGGTAACGATACGGCCATATGCAGTCATTATCTGTCCGATTTCCTTGGCAGAAGTCTCATTTATCGTTGTAGTGCTTGTTTTGCATAAAATATTACAAAATTATTAAATGGTACAAAATTTAGGGAAAGAATAAAGGTGCGAAATAGGATTTTTATATTTATCCCAGCGAGAAAAAGACGCTTAAAATGCGGCCTAATCATATGCCAACCCTTTCAAAGTAATCACCCGTGCAATGGCGAGTATGGTGCACTGACCGTCGAATCAAACTACGTGCAGGTTCTTCTAATCTGAGAAAAGCAAGCTGATTCTATAATCAGTTTATTTACTTTGTTTTTCATCGTCTTTTATGCTGATTATGGAGTCAAAATATACTCATAAAACTTTTTGCCGTAAAGTATTCAAATACATTTTCGTGATAGTCAAGTCATTCCGAAGAAACTTTAATTGTCATAAAACAAGATAAGTTTGAAAAACAGTTGGGCACATCAAACTAGCACCGTCCCACTGGTTGTAATCAACTGATCGGCTGTAATTACGAGCTTCAAGCATTGGGTATGAATATGATAATACCGAACAAACTGTCGCCTGAATTTATATTATTTCCGTCTTTTCTTAGTGTTTAATGCTCGGCTTTTTTCCCTCGGTATAATTTATTGTTAGACTTCTTCATATGCAACGCTGCTCGGCAAACATTACTGGTTTATCGCTTCTTCCTTCACACTGAAATTCACTTTTGTTATCTTTTTTTTTATTATGTAGCCTACGTACAATATGTATTTTCGGCACGTGTAAAAATAGACTCCTGATACTGTCGCGGGATGGGGGCCTGTAACTGGACGCTCAACAACGCCATATTATATGTGACATTGTTTGACAGTAATCAATCCATCCAAACACAAAACAACAACAAACAAAACACAGAGGACCTGGAGGACGGGCATAACTTAATAAAAAAGTTAAAAACGTACCAGTACGTGCCCGTCCACCCAAAACACAATAAAACAAAAACACGATATAAAATCGGGAAATACTTTAAATTAAATTTAAAATGTGAGACGTGTATGTGTAACACAAACAGTGCTTTTCCTACAAAAATATAGAATAAAAAACACTCGCTGACGTAAAATGGTGATGCTGTAGGCCTAGTTCAATTTCATTGCAAAAATAACACAGTGACAAAAAATTGTTACTAAAAAGCAAGCTCGGTGAATAGAATTAATGTTCCATAGCTGTCTATGCACAAATCATGGATTGGGGTATCGGGTTCTTTTGTCGTTTTCGATTAGTTCAATTTAAAATCATTGTATCCGATCCAATGCTTCCAACATTAATATCGAATTTACACGAACGACCACCATTCCAACAGGTGCAGTGGTCCCATCTTTTCTTCGCTCTGTTCCATCATCCACAACTAGATTCATAAAAGGATTGAAACCTCGCAATATACCCGTAACAGATCGTCCACCATTTAACTTTGAATCCAAACTTTCATTCATAAACTTCTTTAATTCCGGTAGATTGCTCATGTTGATATTACGCGATACAAATACCGAAACATACAGCGCGTAGCATTCTCTAGTCTTTTCAAGCAGACACGTCCGCACCCGACGACGATCGGAATGGAATCTATGTCATCTGAAATTGTGAATCCTCAACATAATAGCGTGAAGGGGGGAGATGACATTGGTGACCTGGTCGTATCACTTCCTCCTGGCTGTACCAACCTAATTTATTAATTGTTATTATTTTTATTGTTGCGATGACTGTTATTTTGTTTTGGTTGACGAAAAATAAAAACTATTTCTCTCTATCAAGTTTTCAACTGAGTTCAATAGCGGTGGATCAATAACAGAAAATTTTACTCATCCAAGATGCTTCTGCCATGCAACAAAATATTGCCTGATCAGTGTTAATTAGTCAAATGGCAGTGTGATGTGCTTCCCTTCTGTGTGTGTATGACAGCAGTTACTTAATTTTTCCGCTTTTTGCGACGGGTGGCATACTTAGTCCGGTGTATGACAGGTCGCTGTTGCAGCTACGTATTTATTACCTAATGCTGCATTGGTTTAATTTGGTGTAGCTATTTGAAATGGGAGAAATTTGAGGTTGGGCGATCGCGCAACTATAGGTATATTTAGCGATAGCTTAATTCTTTCAAGTTTTAATCCATTAAAATATACATGTGTGCAACTCCATTATGATCAGTGTTGGGGTAGGACAAGTTAGGATTTGTGTTTGATGCTCAGGAGGTAAAAAAGGCTATTCAACTTCTTGGTGTCAAAGTCACAACCTTTCCGCCTGTTATGAGAATAACTAATGAACTCTGAAGATTCAGGTATTTATTTTGTGGTGCATGAAACATTATACTGACAAAATTAAACAAATATAATAATAAAAAATAAAAAAAAATATATGAGCGAATATTTTTTTGCAATTGTGAGAGCGTAACGTAGCGTTTATGGCCGGCCATTTGGGGATCACGGCCGGAATCTGCTTACGCCATCTATGGTTATTGATGTATCACAAAATATACAGATTACAAGATTAGCCGAACTGATTACGCGATGATCAGCATACAATTGTATTGGAAACCAGACAGCACGGCCAAGCCGTTTGTTTTTTCTCCATTCAAAGATGAAAAATTGCGTAGTGAATAATGGACGTCGAAAACGTTGTTGGGCATAAATGAGGAATCGCCAGAAAAATATATCAAACCTCGGAAAGTAGTCAATATTATATAACGATTATTTGCTTTTTTTCATTGGATTTTTATAAAATAAAACCATAAGCTTTCAGGTTTGTCTATACCAGAAATGGTCACCTATATGAAGAAACTAGAGCTTTACTGGTATAATTACACATATGCCATGGCATATGTACAATAAAACTGTGCAAGTCAGGAATTATTTACATATAAATCAATGCGAAAATTTCAACTGACGGGCATGATTTGATCATAGATGTTACATAACAATGTTATTATGCATTGTCTCTGATTTGATTGATTTTTCTGATTCTGTAAAATATAAACACGCCCGGGGCAAGTTTCGCTTTCTATGTCAAGCCGCGTGATAGGCGTTTATTCACTTCAAATAGTTTAATGCTTTTCCTATTCTCTGCTTTGAGAAGTTTATAACAAGATATTACGGTTCAGAAGGGTATCGCAACCCGACGTCAAATATCAATCAACGATAAGTTAAAAAAAAAGTCATTGTAAAATGTGTGCGATATTTCTACAAATCTGAATGTCATTTCGAGTCGTGGCACAAACCGCGAGTTCTGATTTATGAAAAGCATTGACTTGATTTAACCTGAAATTGGTGGTGAATTTGTTTCTATACGAAAATCACATATTTGCATAATTCGCAGTGCCCGCTTGACCCAAAAATACGTGACACATGTTTTCAATGGGTGAAAGCAAAAACTGAAAGCTCATTTACGAATGCGAAGTGAAGTGGCAGCGTGCTATCCGCAGCCAGACAGTCTCGCGACGTTTCCCTACTGTATTAATTAATCCTGCTCATTTATTGGAATGAGCGTGAGGCATTGCAATGAGTTGTAGACTAAATAAATGCGGTATTTAATTTTATACTAAATATCAGATCGTCTCAAGTTTAAACTCAGCGCCTAGACTGGCGAGTGTGTAAAAGTTCTGGCATGGACGAAGAGCAGAAGAAAGTAGCTGCCGCTGCCAAAGAACGCAGAATGTCGTCTAGATCTAACAGGTTCGATATATAATATTGCATACAGTTGCACAGTACCGTATGCCAGTACTGGGCATACGTTGAGACGTTAGTAAATTGAAAAGCATACCTACTTTTTTCTTCTACCACTGTTGGGTTTATTATAAATTGGTGATAAAACGAAATTAAATGTATTAAAATAGGATAGGGTTTACATATTTATCCCGGGGGGAGAGGAAATCCGATAAGACGGCTTATCCATATGGCTAACCACGGCCTCCCGTCCGGTTACAATTCCAAGTCGGGTATGGAATTAGTTATGTTGTTTGTTTTCGGAAGCATGGACTTGGTGGTGAAGGAAGCCGTGAACCACCCAACGACGGTGAGGAGTCCTCTCGCACATAACCATCCCTGCATGAGATTCGAACCTGCTAACCCACGCAGAGTAATTAGAGGTGCGGTGGCGACCGTATTCCTAACGCTTAGCCCGTTGAGCCACACCGCCGCGCCATACCATGACCATCGAAAATAGTTGTTAGTCTCTTTAAGAATAACATCAAATTTTATTGACATTATTGTTTGGAATTCCAGATCAGAAAATATTTTTTAAAGTTGTATTTGAAACAGTTCAGTATTTGATTATGGTCAGTGGTGGGATTCAATTTTTTTTGTCAGCCGGTTTCATCACAGAAGTCATATTTTTCAGCCTGCTCTGTTACAAACAGAACATTGACAGTAACCAGTAATACTAACTGGTTCGCTGATCTCATATAATTTCGTGAGACGATTCCATAGAACCGGTGCGAACCAGCTGAATCCCACCACTGGTTATGATCATTCCTGCCTGGTCTGATGACCCTCTCTGATAATATGAATTATATTTTGCAGTGATGAAACCGATGATGGAGAGAAGGGACCATTTCTTAGGAATGCACCGAATCGTGCAAGTAGGAAACGCAATGCAAGTGTTTCAGAGGTATGTAGACTTAATCCTATGTCCGCCATTCGGAAATGTCCATGTCCATGTAATTCCTGTATACGCAAATTCCAACATTGAAATATTCCCTTAAAAAAACTTTTTTTTTTTTCATTTTAGGCTGTCATGCGTACCAGCAAACGTACAATATACACAGCTGGTCGACCACCTTGGTATAATGAACAAGGAGAATTCAAAGAAGCATTTGTTATAGGTAAAGCCAGTGGTTCTCATATTTTATGATCTACAGTCCCCCCCTCCCCCCTTCCAAAGATTCATATAACACTTATCGCTCTCTACTGGTGTAATTTAAGTTATGATTCTTTATAGTCTCGGTATCTCTTGGCACTACAGTGGTCGTTAATTACTCCAATCAAGAGATTAATGTCCTTTTTTTTAGTGAGAAAAGTACTCACCAAAAGGTTTTTTTTCTGGCATCATGGAGTTTTAGGTTACCTGGAAATTTGTCTCTCCACTTAGGTCAATTCGAAATGTTTTTTTCAAATTTAATTTAATTAAGTCTCAATGGTTTTGTTATCCTAACTCGCACTGTAATTATGTATTTATCCGATATTTTCAATATGTGAGTTGACAATTATCCACTGAGTTATGCTGAATCGTCGGCGCTCCAGATTTTGTTCGCCTACTTTACATCAAGTTGTGTAAAGAGACTGAAACCTATGGGCAGGGGGTATATTCGCTTGGTATAAAGACAGTCCCTGAACTCGTATTAGAACTACAATGAGGAAAATCTGAATAAAATTATGGCCTAACCCTAACCTGGTACACACACTACGAGAGTATGGAATTGTCTCCATTCAATTTATTCATTCATTTCAGAATTAACTCAGCTCAACCCTAAATGTGTCTCTTTTCTTATTTTCATCCATTTTAGGTCTCGGTGGGGGAAGTGCTTCAGGCAAGACAACAGTTGCTACAAAGATTATTGAAGCATTAGACTTTCCCTGGGTTGTTCTGCTGTCCATGGACTCATTTTATAAGGTATTGTTCTATTCACAATATAATATCTTATGCTTTAGATTGGGTTTTTACAGGACTAACTATCTATGCTTCTTCTATGCTTTGAGTTTTTGTGGATCTGTATGTATGTAATGCAAGTAGCAAGAGTGACATAACTATTTCACATGATTCAAGTGTCTTGCTTCACACAAACACAAATATTTTTATCTGTTTTCTTCAGAATATGTAAATTTCAGATAAAACATTACAAAAAATATATTGTTAGTATGCAGTAAGACTCTGGAAACAGACATTTGTTTAATAAGGTCTGATTTTCCTTAAGAGCGAATAAAAAAATATATCATTCTATAAAACAGTTTTTGAAGTTGCATCTTTTGATTTTTCAAAAATTTGTACAATGCCTCAATGAAATCTTACAGTGAAATTTGTGTTTTTGTAGATTGAATATTTAGGAATAAAATTGTGTCATTCAACCTGTGATTGCGTTTATTACTTTTTGCTCTTCTATCAGTAAGTTTACTCTTCAGTAGAGTAATCGAAACCATTGTTTCAGCAAACTTGCAAATAAGTATTATTACTGAAAACTGTAGCTTATCACACCTTTATTTAAAATAAGGCTCGGTGAGGCATCCATTGATACACAAGAAATAAAGGTTTGCGATGGATCGATTCCATATCAAGTCCACGCTTCAGAAAACAAATACCAAACTAATCCTATACCTGACATGAACTGGTAACCGGACGAGAGGCCGTGGTTCGCCATTATGATTGAGTAGTTATATTGGGTTCCCTCTCTCCTGGGATAAATAAGTAAATCCTATCCACACAATGTACACTGTCCGTTTTTGTTCATTACTTATCGATCTTAAGATCGGTAAGTATGTTGATAGGTATTTGTTTGTCTGTATGTCTGTTTGTTTGTCAGTTAGATGAACGCGATATCTCAAGAAGGCGAGGTTGAATCTGCTTCAAATTTTGCATGTGCATTCATCATATCTCGGACCAGAAGCCTATTGATTTTGGATGAATTATGTCGTATAATTAGCGAGTTATTAATTAATTAGTGATGGGACACGCGGTGTCACTATATATACTATGTCATGAATCGAAACCGCAGTTTCGGTCGATAAGTCTTCCGTCTCCGACCGATATTCTCGCTTTTCCAATCTGTTACTAATTCCTTGAGACTTTGGCTTCCAGGTTCTCTCTCCAGAGCAGCATGAACGAGCAGAACAAAATGAATATAATTTTGATCACATTGATGCATTTGATTTCGAGCTCTGCTGTGAAATGTTGCGAAATCTAAAACATGGGAAAAGTGTGGAAATTCCTGTTTATGACTTCACAACTCATGCAAGAAAGAAGTTATCGGTAAGAAGACTTTTTTGTCGTTTGTTACTTATCGATCTTGATCGGTAAGTATGTTGATAGGTATTTGTCTGTTTGTTTGTCTGTTAGACACTTTCGTATGTTACGCGATATCTTACGAAAGGGAGGTTGAATCTGCTCCAAATGTTGCATGTGCATTCTTCATATCTCGGACCAGAAGCCTATTGATTCTGGACGAATTATGTCGTATAATTAGCGAGTAATTAATTAATTAGTGATGGGGCATGCAGTGTAGCTGTTGAGTCAGAGCGAAGGATACACGCCACTGGATCGATAAGTCGGCGGTCTCTTATCGCTATCTCGTTTCAATATTTTCATGTATTTTTCACTTCAAACAAGGGTCTGTAAGGAATCTTTGCATTTAGCATCTTGGTCAAATTTATTACATTCTGGAGAGGTGGAGTGCATTTAAGATTTAAAACCGCTTAGCCAACATAGTTAAGTTGTATGCTTCTGTCACTAAGCTAATGAAATCAAGTTAAAAAATTTAAGACTAAAATATGTATAGGGTATGAGTAGGGTCATTGTCCGATATTGGGAGAGCAATATAAATTTCCTCCCACCCCTAATATAAATTTTTGATTTCAGAAAACACTATATGGAGCAAATGTAGTTATATTTGAAGGCATCATGTCATTCGTAAAGCCAGAATTGCGAAAGGTTTGTCTATTTTCATTATTATTCTATTTTGTTGTTTTTTTGCAAGAAAAATTTACAAAAAGTGACAGGCAAGGCCTTACCTTTTTCGTTTCAATAGTTGCCATAATTTGGCTCAGAGATAAGGAGTCTTTTACTTCCAAGTTAGTGTGCACGTGACCTTGTTTGACCTTTTGTTTTAATTGTACCTGAAACTTTTCATTCACTTAACATCATAGGCATGAGAATTGATAAGGCTGGATTTCTAAATATTCTCAGTTTAGTTAAGTCGATGGAAGTACGTTTCTGTAGTTGGCTGTTTTCTATATATATTATTCAACATCTTTATTTGTGAAAATGCCTATCTACGTCCTTATGCTTCCATGAACAAAAATGAGAGATGGGCATCATGTCAATAATCTGATCAATTCCCAGTACATTTTACTATCTTACAGTTTTATTAACTTCTTCATATTATTATTTGCGAAGTTAAATATCAGTAAATTATTTTTTTCAGCTCTTAGACATGAAAATATTTGTTGACACTGATTCAGATATCAGATTAGCTCGTAGATTACAAAGAGATATTACTGAGAGAGGAAGAAATTTAGAGGTTTGTATAGAATATTGCAGCTGTTTCCCATTAGTTGATGTCGGTAAATGGTTTTTCTAATATTTATACCTAGTTGATGGTCTTTTTTATTTTTTTTTATTATGAATTTATATAAATATATATATTATATTTATTTATTCTTTTTTTGTCTATTCATTTTGTGTTAGAATGCATCTGGATTCGCTGCTTTACAATCAGTATTGTTTTTTGCACCTGCCTTCGCCCTGAAATTTCATTTGTAGTTCATTTTTAGATTATGTATGTAAAATGTGCATTTTCACTTGGTGAAAAAATATACTACTGATTACTGATTTATAGTAAAATATAGAATTCGCCGTTTCAAATTGTTGTTTTGTTTTTTGAAATCCTTGATATTCTGTCATCATTTAAAAGCTATTATTTGAAAGGGGTGAAACGAAGTAGTAGCCTGTTTTTATCTGTTCATGCAGAAGTTCAATTTTACACAAAAATTTTAAAGTTGACATTAGTTCCACTACAAACACAGTTTTGAAATAGGAATCCTGATGTTGAATTAAATCCGAAGACATCCCTACTTTATCTCCCACATTCTGACTTGTCTTGATTCATAATCTAATTTGTTTTTTGAAGGGAGTTCTCCACCAATATGATAAATATGTGAAACCAGCCTTTGAGAAGTTCATTGAACCCACGCTGCAGTATGCCGACATTGTAGTGCCGAGAGGTGAGAAGTATACTTCTATTTACACAAGTTTAATAATCATCATCTACATCAGCGGTTCCCAATAGAGGCAAAAAATAAACAGAATTGTGTTAAACATAACGAACATATGATTCAATATATTACATATTGTATTTATTATTAATGTTTTTGTTGTTTCTCATTTTGAATGCTGTAATATGAATCAATAAATTCATTTTACCTTTCTATGTCGATTACTGTATGTTAAGTATTGTCTGTCTCCATTGTAGAAACTACTTGCTGCAACTTCACAAGCAGCAGTTTATCTATTTTTCTGTGTTGCGAGTTTTTCCCTTGATAATTTGGCGCCACACGAACAAAAAGTTTGGGGAACTACTAATCTACAGACATCTGTGTCGAAATAATAAAATAATAGTCTTCCGTTAGTCAGCGGTCATTTGTTGATTTCTTCATCAGTGCTCTGCCTACTTCAATTAAATTTCTGGGCTTGAGTGTAAAGAAAGAATATTAAATATTAGTATTGAAATTATTTAAGTATGAGCTATTATCTAGTGATAACTGTAAAACCTAATTGTTCAACATTTTGAGTCGGTGGGCAATATGACCAACTTCAGACATCTTGATGGGCCACACAAAGAATACAGGTTTTCCATTTACACAACAAATTAAAAAACGAGAATATCGGTTGGAAACCGAAGACTTATCGATCGATAGTTAGAGGATCCTCCAAAACAGAAACTGCAGTTTCGATTCATCCGCTCTTGTAACTTGCGCACTGCGCATCGCACACACACACTCGGCGGGTCTCAAAATTCTCTCGCTTTACAAAAATCTAGATCACTTCATCAATAATTGTTTGATAACTCGCTAAATATACGACATAATTCGCCCAAAATCAATAGGCTTCTGGTCCGAGATAAGATGAATGCACATGCAAAATCTGGAGCAGATTCAATCTCTATTTCGTGAGATATCGCGTGCATCTAACAGACAAACAGACATACAGATAGACAAATACCTATCAACATACTTACCGATTAAAATCGATAAGTAACTACCTACCAATCAGACCTCTGTGGGTAAGGCAAGTGAAGAGAATGCGGTATAGTTCAGCCTTCCAGTAATAAAGGCATCGCGTTAATTGGCGAAAAATTTATCTAACAAGAGCGAAACTCATTATGTATTTTTACCCATATGACTGCTTTTTCAAACATACCGACCGGTAAACTGTCAGATTAAGATTTTATGCTTAATGGAAAAAAATCTCTGTCTTGTCAAGGGCCACACTAAATGGCTTTATGGGCCGGGCTGTGGCCGCCTGTTGCACACCCCTGCTGAAAAAAATATAAATGAATATACATAGATAGATATTTATTGGTATGTGCAAAAGTTGGTACTCCCTTAGTGTGTGTACCAGGTTAGGGTGAGGCCATAATTTTATTCAGATTTTCCTTATTTTAGTTCTATTACAAGTTCGAAGACTGTCGGTGTTAGCCAAGTGAATATACCCCCTGCCCATAGGTTTCAAACCCTTTACACAACTTGATGTAAAATAGGCGAACAAAATTAGTTACCTCTATATTGGTTCACACAATTCTGTGGTGCAGTTTTTATTTCACCAGACTAGAAAAATACTTGTTTTGCTTATCTAACGGTATTTAATTTCTTGTTCTCTAATTGATCAGGTGGAGAAAATGAAGTTGCAATTGACCTGATAGTACGACATATTCATACACAACTGGAAACGGTAAGTAAGCTTGACAATACTTTTTTGGGCGGTCCCATAGTATGTGAACCAAGATGGTGGACACCTGAACATAGTGTACCAGGTTAGAGTTAGGCCATAATTGAATTTCAATTTTCCTTATTTTAGTTCTGTTACGAGTTCGGGGACTAGTCGAGTGACTCTCGTAGTAATTGTACCTGAAATTAGGGCTTAAGTCTAACCTGATACACATACTACGTACAGGTGTCCGCCATCTTGTTGCACATACTATGGGAGTACCCTTTTTTGGACAAAATTTGCCTACAGACAACTTGACGCGCCGAAGAAGCGGGCAGATTAGACGCTGGGCTCTTCTCAGTTCACTCGTTATTACTCAGGGATTCTCTGTTGGTTTCTTTTCCTCGCTCATTCAGAAATAAAGGGGACTAATCCCTAAGTGAAGTTACAGACAACCGCTGCAGTGCTAAGACCTACTGATATTATGAAGAATGATAGTTCGCGCAAACCCATTTTTATTGTCGCCATTAGGCCAGGGCTTCCGAAACTTTTAAGCTTGCCACCCCTTCCAAAATGTTGAAATATTCTGTGGCTCCTGACTTACAGCATTGTTGTGCAAGCACACTGTTTCTCTGATCCCATGTATTCTCTCAAAATCGTGAGATTTATGTTTTGCGCTAGTTTTAATAATTGTGCTTTGAATCAAAAGTCTAAAAAGGTACATCGTGTGAAATTAGTGTACTCTTTGCAACCCCTAAAATTCGTCGCGACCCACAATTTGGGGAGCCCTGCTTTAGAATACCGTACCTAATGGGTTACATCTTACATGCACCGTAAATGACAACTAACGAATATTTGACTGTTTACAAGTTATGTACCAGATTTATGCGAAGCATGTCATGTTAATGCAGCTTACGTAGCGACATACATCCATGTCCCGCGTCTGGTTCAAACCTTATGGTCACCTCACCCATAACTGAAAAGATTCAAGTCCAATCCAAATTATACTTTTCCTTGTACCAGTGGCCTCTTTTAATATTGATTTGTTCAGAGTGTGAGAGTGCTTGGTCTTTATATTGTGCACTTTGTGTTTGATCACTATGCTTGGTGTGTTTTTATCCTGTGTGTTCCTCAAAAATGCGATAATATCAAAGAATTCGACTGTTTCTCATGGCATTTACTACCCATTGCAATTCCCGCCACCAAATTCCGCTTATTCTTACAATTGGAAGGCATTGCCTAGGATTTAAGAATCGGACCAAACCCAAACTCCCCATCCCTTTGTAATATAAAAACATCTTACACAGGAATTTTTCGTAGCTTGAAACAATTCTCAGGCCTTCAAGAGTCAAGACTCTTGGCATGGCGGTGTGGCTCAACGGGCTAAGCGTTAGGAATACACTCGCCACCGCACCTCTAACTACTCTGCGTGGGTTCGCAGGTTCGAATCCCATGCAGGGATGGTTATGTGCGAGAGGATTGCTGGACTCCTCGCCGTCGTTGGGTGGTTCACGTGACCGCTGGTCGGTTACGGCTTCCTCCACCACCAAGTCCATGCTTTCGAAAACAAACAATACAGTAAAACTAATCCCATACCCGACTTGGAATGGTACCGTAACCGGACGAGAGGCCGTGGTTCGCCATATGGATAAGCCGTCTTATCGGCTTTCCTCTCCCCCGGGATAAATATGTAAATCCTGTCCTGTCCCTGTCCTGAAAGCCCACGTTTTTCGCCGTACCCGCCAGCTGTCACAGTCTAATTTGGCAATTAAAGATTTCAGAACCTCCCTCTTCAAAAATTTCTGTCCTCGACCATGCATAAACACCCTTTCTGTTATTATTATTTTTAGAGGAGTGCGTTTTACATATATTGCTGAATAGAGCTCTATCACACGCTATTAAAAAAGCCTTGAGTGAAGCTTTAGGGCCTAATGGTTGACAAAAAAAAAACATGTAAAATGGCACCAGACCGACCGACTGGGTAGGGTTAATAAATCCTTTACTGGTATTATGCCCGACTTATAATCTGGCTTTTGCACAGTTCTAATAGTTCATAAAGTGTATAAACATGTATTAATAATAACCGGTTCCATTACATTTGAACCCACGTACATTTGAACCCATGACAATTGCACCTGCATACTATTGCACCTATGGAAATTTGTTTTGTTTCACGGATATTTGAACCCATACTAACCCTAACCCATGGGTTTTAGCACCCGCATATAGATTGAACCCGCGGATAGACACATGGGTTCAAATGTACAGTCACCATAATAACCAAATGATATTAGTAATTCCACAAGTAATATTTCTGTATTCCCCCCTGATAAGAGAATTATTTTTTTGTTGCTGGGAGGAGTTCCCCCCCAGCTGGGAACGCAGCCATCACATTTTCATTTATTCACTTTTCATTTTGCATGTCTCACTGCACATCACATGGAATACAGAGGAATCTCAATTTCAGGTAAAGTTGAAAACATTATTGTGCTGTATTCAAGAATTTCGCTCTGCGTATTCTTCAAGACACAAAAAAAATTGACAAGCACTCAGTCAAACGTGGGCCCATTCAATTAAAAATGGTTTTTCTATACTTTGTATTCATTTCTCTTTTCTTTCTTGGCAGAGACATTATGGTGCTCGTCCGTGAGTTATCTTCTTTTTCTCTCTTTTTATTGATTTTCTCTTATTCTCTTTACTTATCTTATATTATCTCATCTTTAAATTACAATGTTCCGATTGTATGCTATGGGTTAGTGCAAGGGTGCGCAATCACTTTTCTGAGTGGACCAGTTACCCATAATAGACTTGGTTACTGGGCCGTAGGCTCAAAACTTAATATGAAAAACTATGAATAGAAAGCAGTCTATTTACAAAAGCTAGTCCAATAGCTAGGCTAACGTACATATATAATACATACAGAGAGTCCTCGACTTACGACGTTGTTCCGTTCTCGAAACGCGGTGTAACCCGAATCTCAGTGTAAGTCGGAACATTATATTGTACAGTACATAAATTACTCTATACATATCGTACTGTATTGTAAAGTATGGTACTGTAATGAAATGTACAAATATTGCAAAAAAGTACAGAAAACAGAAAACAATTCCATATCACATGAATAAAAGCAAATACTGTACAGTACAGCAGTGTTCCCTCTAAGGTGTGCGCATGTGCGCGCGCACACAGCTTTCAGAGGATGCGCACACGCATAGATTCACTGCGCACAGACGTATTTCGATGTAATGTAACAATGTGCCCGGTTGGCAGGTTGAGAAAGTTTGTTGTTGGCCCACTTATTACCCGGTTAGAACGCCAAAATTTCTTTATTGGTTTTTGCACAAATATTAGTCATTTCCAAAAAAGTGCGCACACACCAAAATTTCTGCGCACACATACTACAAAAAATTAGAGGGAACATTGCAGTACAGTATTACCTTTTATAATTTTTATGGAGTGCGCGTGCGTAACCTCGAAACAGCGTAAGTCGCGACCGTCGTAACCCGAGGACTCCCTGTATATAACGTAACCTATATAATAATAAGAAGAATCGGGGTGGGGTCATTGGGACATCATTTTCATTGATATTTTAAACGTGAATTTATATCTATATAAACTATAGTCGTAATTTCGGCAAACACAAAGACACACTTCGGTGGGCCAGATCCGGCCCGCGGGCCATATTTTGACCCCCAGAGTTATTTACTTTAATATTTTCGTGAATTGAATGGTCAATTAGTCACCTAATTAATTAAGGAACTTCAAGGAGTCTGGATTATTTACAATCATCACAGTTTTTAATTGAAATTGAAGTGCTTGTCTTAATTACTGTAATTAATTTAATTAATTGAGAATCTAATTAGCAACTTAATTACTGTAATTAATAATAATTAATTGAGAATTTAATTAGCAACTTATTTGTAACAGGAGCCAACTTGCCACAGCTCACCTTGGTCAGCCTTTGCCAAACACGTTGAATGTTCTAGAAAAGACAACTCAAGTTGAAGGAATACATACGATACTACGGTAAGAGTGATTTATTACTGGACACAAAGTGGACCTATGGATTGTTACTTATCGATCTTAAGATCGGTAAGTATGTTGATATGTATTTGTCTGTTTGTCTGTCTGTTAGATGCACGCGATATCTCACGAAAGCGAGGTTGAATCTGCTTCAAATTTTGCATGTGCATTCATCATATCTCGGACCGGAAGCCTATTGATTTTGGATGAATTATGTCGCATAATTAGCAAGTTATTAATTAATTAGTGATGTGACACGCGGCGTCACTATAGAGTCATGAATCGAAACCGCAGTTTCGATCGATAAGTCTTCGGTCTCCGACCGATATTTTCGTTTTGTTATGTTGTTGAGGTGCGGATAATACATGGGGAATTACAGTATTTATTTTAGCCAACGATTCATTATTTTCATTGAAATTTTCAACAAAAATTCATTTCCATGAAGATTTACAGTGTCGCTTTTCCAGCAGGCATAAGTGGCCCGGATGAAACACTTTAGTGCAGGGGTCGACAACCTTTTGTCGCTCGTGGGCCAAAATTAAGGTTGCAAGTCATTGGCGGGCTGCGCATATTTTAAGAAAGTTGAAAAACAGAACGAATGGTACTTTTTATAATAAAAATCAAGCACTGATACATCTCTCGAATAGAATATAGATTTATTTCCTCACTGCATCTCATAAAATTCCATTTGACTATTTTTGAGCGCCATTGAACCCTTTGCACTTAGCATCAACTTTTCTGCGTTTTGTTGCCATTTGCTTAATTATGATTAAATTATACACTCATTAAACGAGTAGTTGTGAAATATATAAGTGTTAGGTTACCGTTTTGTTACTATAATTAAGTGAAGCATCACGGGCTGGATTATAGCGCTCCGCGGGCCGTAGGTTGCCGACCCCTGCTCTAGGGGGACGGATCTGACCTGCGGGGTGTAATTCGCCCATTACCCAGTTAGGACAACTGGCGAATCATACTGCTAAGACAATGGTTTGCAGCTATCTTTTCATTTTCAGAGACCGTACAACAAACAGAGACGAATTCATATTTTACTCCAAACGTTTAATGAGATTATTGTTTGAGTTCGCACTCTCGTTCCTTCCTCATGAAGATCACGTAGTCGACACACCACAAGGTACTAAGTACGAAGGACGAAAATTCAAGGGAAGTGGGGTATGTAGGTATTCTCATACACTCAAGTTCTTGGTCCAGTAATCGATTCACAACACCAATACAAAGTAATAAATAGGCTTACAAATGTATTTGTTTATGTTCAATCAGCCTTCTTCAGACAATCATATTTCAATTATAGCTTGTATTTGGGCGCTCCAGAAGTGTGTGTACCAATATGGAGGTAACTAACTTTGTTTGCCTACTTTACATCAATTTGTGTAAAGGGATGAGAGCCTATGAGCAGGGGGTATATTCACTTGGCTAACACGAACAGTTCCTGAACTCGTAATAGAACTAGAATAAGGAAAATCAGAATAAAATTATGCGCCAACCCTAACCTGGTACACATACTGCGGGAGTACCGATTGAAACAGCATTTAGAAGTCAGAGTTAGTACGTTTCGGCATTGATATCCTATACATATACGGTACTTTACATTTTTTACCATCTCAGGCACTGGAATTGGCATAACATTAAAAAACGGCCCTATTGAGGTGTGTCCACAAAATATAGGCAAATTATCTAAAGCAGGGCATCTGATTCCTTATCTAGTTCAGGGTGGTCCAAACCCATGCCTGCGAGTCACATGTGGCCCGCGACGCATTCGGAGAGGAATCAGAAAATCGCATTTCATGTTGTTTCATCGTAAAATTAACCAAAAACTTTTTTGACTTATCGTTGCATCACTAATGTCACTGAATTGACTAGTTTTATGGCTTGCTGAGGCAACTAGCGAAGTTAAACGAGCGAAGTTCTTGGCACTATTGTGGCTCGCGAACAATGCAGAAATAATTTTGTGGCCCGCGGAGCTGCAAATCTTGGACCACCCTGATCTAAAGGTTTAAGGCCACTGGAAAAATTGGGAATTGAGAACCCGTAAATTCAGACAAAACTTTCAACCAGGCGATGGAACAGGCAGGAATTCCAAATTTACCATAGATTATCAGAAGGAGCAAAATCAACTCAAAACTTTTAACCGTTCGCCTCCTAACTCCCTCGATGCAATTTAAATTCTCTACTATTTTTTTCACAGTTGTGTGGAGTTTCAATTCTTCGTGCTGGAGAAACCATGGAATCAGCTTTGTTTTCTGTTACAAAGGACATCAGACTCGGAAAAATTCTGATACAGACAAACCCGCAGACAGGAGAGCCAGAGGTAAGACAATTGTCTGCCTGTTTTAGGGCAGACTTAAGAAACATACAGACAGATGTGCCATAGTATTGCCTACAGTCTGTCTGTCTGGTGCTGGGCATACTTAAGAAACATACAGACAGATGTGCCATAGTATTGCCTACAGTCTGTCTGTCTGGTGCTGGGCATACTTAACAAACATACAGACAGACGAGCCATATTTAGGCCTATTTTCTGTTTGTCTGCCTGGTTTTGTGCAGACTTGAGAAAATGCTGACAAGAGAGTAAGGCAATTGTCTGTCTGTTATAAGAAAATTATGATATGCATGCTGACAGGAGAGCAAAAGATTATACAATTGTCTGTCCGTTGAAGGCCAGACTTGAAAAGATGTCAATACAGACAAACATGCAGACAGGATAGATAGAAATAAATTCCAACAAAAATACAAATGGGATAGTTTGTGGTTTGACAATTGATTCTGTCTGTTGTAGTACAGACTTGGTAGACAAGCAAGATGTAGGCCAATTGTCTGTTTGTTGTGGGGCAGACTTTGAAAGATAATGACACAGACAAAAATGCAGACGGAGGTGAGACAATTGTCTGTCTGATGTATGGCAGCTTCGACAAACATGCAGACAGGGCAGCCAGAGCTGAAACAGTTGTGTGTTTGTCTGTCTGTTGTGAGGCAGACAGAGGTAAAACGATTGTCTGTCTAATATATGGCAGCTTCGACAAACATGCAGACAGGGCAGCTAGAGTTAAAACAGTTGTGTGTTTGTCTGTCTGTTGTGAGGCAGACAGAGGTAAAATGATTGTCTGTCTAATATATGGCAGCTTCGACAAACATGCAGACAGGGCAGCCAGAGTTAAAACAGTTGTGTGTTTGTCTGTCTGTTGTGAGGCAGACAGAGGTAAAACGATTGTCTGTCTAATATATGGTAGCTTCGACAAACATGCAGAAAGGGCAGCCAGAGTTAAAACAGTTGTGTGTTTGTCTGTCTGTTGTGAGGCAGACAGAGGTAAAACGATTGTCTGTCTAATATATTGCAGCTTCGACAAACATGCAGACAGGGCAGTCAGAGTTAAAACAGTTGTTTGTGTGTCTGTCTGTTGTGAGGCAGACAGAGGTAAAACGATTGTCTGTCTGATGTATGTCTGTCCTCCATGTGATATGAGATTTCAATGAAAACTGTCGATACAAGATTTAAAACTACTACTCCACCACACCATAGAGATAGCCAGGTGACAAGCATATCATCTATTTCCCTCAGCCTTGCAAATTGAAATCCAACTGTATTAAAAAGTCCAATTCCATTCCAGCTCCATTATCAAAGGCTTCCTCGCAAGATCAAAGAAGATCATGTAATATTGATGGATGCTACAGTTGCCACAGGGGCTGCAGCAATGATGGCAATTCGTGTGTTGTTGGATCACGATGTTAAGGTGAAAAATCTGTCCATAAAATCTTAAAATATTTAAAATTGCAAAGGAAATTTATCGATACCATATATTGTTTTGGCCCTCGCAGTAAAAATACTTAAACAATTACTGGTTAAAAAAACAACAAACCTGGTTAAAATATATTGAGAACCAATTTAAAAACAAAATTAAAATTGTCATTAACACCCTGTATATTTAATGCTCGTCTGGGTATTAATAAATTTGTGGAACTGAAACGTTGACCCTTTTTGGGTTGGTTCTGTGAGTCCCTTCAAAAAACTCCTCACTATTATGCCCTAAAACAGTGGGCCCCAAACCACAGGTCAATGACGGTGCCCATGCAATGATTTAATATGGCCCGTCAAACTTAAGTGGAATAGTCAGCACTTGATGTTTTTTAGATACTGCCAATTGTTACGTCATTATAACAGTTTGAGCATGTGTATATTCGTAACAATTCATACCAGTATAGGCCCATTGTGATTGCTTCCCTCTTCTGGCCTGTGAATATCCTTCCCGCTTCTAATTTTGGCCCTGGTAAATCAACTTAGGGAACAACTGCCCTAAAACCTCACTTATGGCTTTTTTGAAGCATATGCTCGCGTTCTATTCAGTGTGATGGGACTATAGAGCCATTTCTAATCATTTTTTTTGAGTTATCAAGATCAAGAACTAACTTTACAACGAAATTAAATTTGTAACAGAACTCTATGAACACCTGCGCAAAAAGATATAATTATTTTATGGATTTAAATTTTTTTTTCTCGGGAGGAAAACATTCTTCTTGTTACTTAAAAATTTAGGAAACTTGAAAAAAGGTCGGGAACAACTGACCTTGAACTTCAGTCATCGCTCTTTAGATTCATAAGCTTGAGTTCTATTCAGTGTGATGAGACTATAGAGCCATTTCTATTCATTTTTTTGAGTTATCAAGATCAAGAACTAACTTTACAACGAAATTAAATTTGTAACCGAACTTTATGAACATCCTGCACAAAAAAAAAAATCATGAGGTATGTCCATTGTGTCAAATTTTTCATAAAAATAAAAAAAATTTTCTCAGGAGGAGAACATTCTTCTTGTTACATTACTGATGGCCGAATCAGGAGTTCATTCTGTTGCTTATGCTTTTCCTAAAGTAAAGATCGTGACAACTCTAGTAGATAAAGAACTCAATGAAAATTTCCATATTGTACCTGGGATAGGTGAGATTTAATTGATAACATAAATACAGCCAAGGTTCTTTTTTGGTACTTCCTTAGTATGTGCAACAAGATGGCGGACACTGGAATGTAGTATGTGCATCAGGTTAGGGTTAGGCCATAATTTCAGGTATAAATACTACAGGAGTCCCTTGGCCAGTCCCCGAACTCGTAATAGAACTAAAATAAGGAAAATTGGATTAAAATTATAGCCTAACCCTAACCTGGTACACATACCATGTTCATGTGTCCGCCGCCATCTTGTTGCACATACTACGGGTGCGCCTATTTTTTCCTATTTAGAAAATGCCTTCATATGTCCAATCACCTTATCAGTGGTTTAATTTTCACCATTTTGAAAATATACTTTGCATGAACAGAATATAGAGAATCATGTGAAATGGCTTTTCATTATGAAGGTAGAAACCGACTTATCAACTATTCGCTTTGAGATAAAATAAAAGTTTCATATAAAGTTTTTAAAACTCCTCCGCAGTCATCTCTGTCCTTCTGAAACTAAATTTTTATTCATTTTGTATGCAGGTAACTTTGGAGACAGATATTTTGGGACGGAATGATTGCAAATTTCAAGAATATATACCAATTTCGCTATGCAGTTCGAAAAGATATGAAAGATTAAAATCAAAATTATATAATGAAAACATAGAAAAGCCTCCAGCACATATATCAATCAAATTTTCTTTTTCATGTATAAAATTCTCGGCGCTTCAGAGGGCAACCTATGGGCAGGGGGATATTCACTTAGCTAACACAGACATTCCCCAAACTCGTAATATAAGGGAAATTGGAATAAAATTATGGCTTAACTCCAACCTGGTACACACACTACGGGAGTACCAAATTGTCTGGTTAGAGCAATTACCTTATTTTTAAGGAATATGGTGTTGAAAATGCTTTGCGAATGCTTTTATTTTATTTACATAATTCTATAATTGAAGTGTTGTGCTGAAAATTTTAATGTTTTTAATTATACATATTTTTTTGGTGAAATTTCTCTATTCCCTTTCAAAAAGGCTTTGTATAAGTGTACGCTGTGATATTTTTTCCTTATATCCACTCATCCTGCTCTTTATAAAGGTTTTATACAAGCATTTGAGCCTGCCAGTAAAGAGTGTTTCCCGGTTAGACATAGCCAGTGGAGGGATTCCACCGGTTCCTACCGGTTCTATTGAACCGTCTCACGGAATTTTATGAGATCAGCGAAACCGGTTAGCATAACTAGTTACTGCCAATGACTTTTTGGCAACAGAACCGGCTGAAACATATGATCTAAAAATTTGAATCCCACCACTGGGCATAGCTACCTATGTATTATAAATGGAATAGGATTTTTATCTAGTAGAACAAAGCCAGTAACACGTCTCGTCCATTTACCAGACCATGGGATTAAGTAGCCATTTCTTTCTTTGAGATGTATGGACTTGACAAAGTCCGATCATTTTGGCCCATTTGCACACGAGCGTGTCCATGTCTCTTTTATCACTATAATATACAGATTTTTTACTGCTATTTTAACAATCATTATCACTCAATGCTGCCTTTATATTTCTAGTTGGTGTCAATTTTAAAAATAGTGGTCGATGGTTAATTTTCTGCAATTTAAAGATAGCATGGCAAGATTTTATCATTAATATTTAGAACAGTGTTTCTTAAACTTTTCGAGCCGCGCCCCTTTTTTATAATTTGTCAAGTTTCACACCCCACCTTAAAACTAACTAGCTAACAATAAGCTACAAATAACTGATAGTAAGGCGGAAGTATGCTTTATTCAAAAAACATGTTGAAAATACCTGGATGCAACGTAAAGATTCAAAATAAAAAAATTAGAAATTTAAAGTAAGGCAGGCAAGATCAAGTCCAACAAATATTTTTTTCCCTAATAAGCTTCACGCCCCCTCAAAAAATTGTCGACGCCCCATTGTTTGAGAACCACTGATATAGATGACTCAAGTCTAGTTCACACTAATATATCATTATCTGAATATAATTCTGCCATTTTGCAATTGTAAATAGGGGGCTCCCGAAGTATGCGAACCAAGATGGCGGACATCGGAATGTAATATGTGTACTAAGTTAGGGTTAGGCCATAATTTTAGGTATAAATACTACGGGAGGCTCTTGGCTAGTCTTCGAACTGATAATAGGACTAAAATAAGGAAAATTGTCCGCCATCTTGGTTCGCATACTTCGGGAGCACCGAAAATAGAATACGTTTTAGTCCTGTCTTGATATTTTATCATAATTTTATTGCTCTGTTTGAACCTTGCTTTAAAGTTATTCTACACAAGAGTACCTGAGTCTTACAATCTCTGATACTTTAAAAATATGTATGACCTCCACGTATTGATTAAAAGATAAAAAAAAATTATAATCTGTGATTTTTTAAGTTTATGTCAGTAGGTTTAAATTTATATCAGTAATACTTTATACTAGTCCGAAGATCTCCCCACCCCATGACGATAATGCAATTCGTTTCATGTTTCTGTTATAAACTAAGCCCTGCATGTAATAATTTTTCACACATAGATCTGCATCTTTTATTCTCAAATCAAAATCATGACAATGTATCTACAGGATTAAAAACAAGTAAATACCCTAAATAAAACTGCCAGAAAGATTTTCGTTTTTTTAATGTATGTTTTGCCTTGAAAAGTAATAATGTATATTTTAAATCTGACTGGGACTGACAAATTAGTATGGCACTTGTAAAATTATAATGATATTTGCGCTTATATCAAGTGACAGGATTTGAAATTTTAAGAATAGATTCCTTCTGTATCTAACTCTTTAATCATAATCATGACAATGTATCTACAGGAAGAAACCTCTGAATAGAACTGCTAGAAAAGTTTCATTTTTTCTTAACTCTGCCCCGAAAATTAATAATGCAAATTTTAAATTTGACTCGTACCAACAAATTAGTTTGTGTAATTTTTTGTAGTGGTATTTGCGCTTATATCAATTGACAGGATTTAAAATTTTAAGAACAGATTCCTTCTGTATCTAACTCTTTAACAATAGTTTTTACCACATTTAAAAAAATCATGGCGAACTTATAAATTTTGCTCATGTTACATCGTTTACAATCTAATACATATATTTTGAAACGCCAAATACCCTCGCGTCAATTGCTGTGAATCAATATTTCCCGTTTTTTATTTTACTATGTTTTTCTTTCTATTAATTCTTGCATAACGAAATAAATATCTGACATCTGGTAGTCGTCAACGGAGGGTACGTTGTTACCCATTTACTGATGCCCAAAATTAAAAAAATCGAATTCTCTGATCCCAAGAACAGGTTTGACCATCTGAGCAATATAATCTAAGTTTTCGGTGACCGTACATTTGAACCCATGCGTATATCCACGGGTTCAATCTATATGCGGGTGCTAAAACCCATGGGTTAGTATGGGTTTAACTATCCGTGAAACAAAAATGCAATAGCATACAGGTGCAATTGTCATGGGTTCAAATGTACGTGGGTTCAAATGTAATGGAACCTAAGTTTTCATATTCTTTTGTATATATGTGTGTCTGAATTATTTCCTGACAACAATATTCATTCGCCTAAACTATAGAATTATCTGAAACAAAGCTTATATAATTAACCTGTTATCTGTTCATGCGTGCTTTTTGTATTGTTCTCTTTTTGAGATTTTATAGTTCAACTCAACACCATGCGTTTGTGAAATCATAATCTGACACGCTTTTTTCAATTTTTATGTAATTTATCATGTTTGAAGAATTATATAAACATAGCTTATCTGTTATAAAACAAAAATGATAAAATTGCTTTCGACTGGGTGAGGGGTCTAACAGATAAGAATTTTCATGCTTATCCCAGGAGAGATGGCTTTATCGTAAGAGAAAGGAAGGACCGCAACCTTGGGCCCGCGGAGTAATATAATCCGGCCCGTGACGCTTCATTGAATCATATAAACAAAACAGCTGTTTTGACGATTAGAATCTTTAAGTGTCAGAATTTATATAAATTCTGAGATGCGTGTAGACTAAATTATATTATAATCTAACAAGTATAATATTGACAATTACTTGTTTAATTAGCCTATAATCCAATTATAATTAGACAAATGGCAACAAAACGCAGAAAAGTTGATTCGAGTGCAAAGGGTTCAATGGTGCCGAAAATATTCAAATGAGATGCAATGCAATGAGGGAATGAATCTATATTATATTCAAATTTGGTTTTCATAGTTCTAAAAATATGTGTGGCCCGCCAATGACTTCCAACCAGTGTTCCCTCTAAGATGTGCGCGCGCATACAGCTTCCAGAGGCTGCGCACACACATAGATTTACTGCGCACAGACGTATTTCGATGTAATGTAACAATGTGCTCGGTGGGCAGGTTGAGAAAGTTTGTTGTTGGCCCACTTATTACGCCAAAATTTCTCCATTGGTTTTTGCACAAATATTAGTCATTTCCAAAAAAGTGCGCACACACCAAAATTTCTGCGCACACATACTACAAAAAATTAGAGGGAACATTGCTTGCAACCCCTTATTTTGCTCGTGGGCGACAAAAGGTTGCTGACCCCTGTCCTAGTCGGTTACCAATCCATGTCCAGAAATAGTTAAAGAGTTGTACAAAATAGGATCTCAACCTGAAATTGTGAAATGCCACTGTTGGGATAAGATTTTTATATTGCACCAATCACCATATGGCAAGATATAAGATTATTATATTGGATGGATTTGCATTCTTATTGGATATGGCAAGGGGCTTGCTTACCAATGTTGTGGGTTCAGACTCTCCTTTTGAAATGTAGAAAAAGGCATTTTTTCTGTATCAAATATAGCAATTTTTCGCAGCTTGGAACGCTTTTTAGACCCTTAAGGATAGGATAGGATTCACATATTTATCCCGGGGGAGAGGAAAGCCGATAAGACGGCTTATCCATATGGCGAACCACGGCCTCTCGTCCGGTTACCATTCCAAGTCGGGTATGGGATTAGTTTTTACTGTATTGTTTGTTTTCGGAAGCATGGACTTGGTGGTGGAGGAAGCCGTAACCGACCAGCGGTTACGTGAACCACCCAACGACGGCGAGGAGTCCAGCAATCCTCTCGCACATAACCATCCCTGCATGGGATTCGAACCTGCGAACCCACGCAGAGTAATTAGAGGTGCGGTGGCGAGCGTATTCCTAACGCTTAGCCCGTTGAGCCACACCGCCGCGCCAAAGAACCCATGTTTCCCAGCCTCCGTTAGATGACAACAATACCGGGTTATCCGTTGATCTAATGTTGAATTCTAAATTATTTACAACTCCAGTTACATTTCATACATACTTTCGCCTTGCTATCTTTTAGCTGGTTATTCTTCAGGTGTGCCGCAAGACTTGACAAATTCGAAGAAGGAGGCGCGACTTTATCAGTTTGAGAACCATTCCAGCCTCACCAAGTATGCAAACCATAAACTCGGTTGACTATACGTTTACTGCACACAATTTCTGGTTTCATTCACAATACAAGAAGACAAATTTTAACTTGAATTTAAGGAAGAAACACACAATGAAATCAAAATAAGAATATTGAAAATATTGCAATTTCCCAGCAAGAAACTGTCGTCAACTGAACGAGCCAGTATTTCATATTCAAAGTTGAAAATATTTGACTCTCATCAAATAAACAGTTTCTCATTGGGTTATATGTAGTGATACCATTTTCAGGTTTAATATTGATTTTTGGGTGCTCCCATAGTGTGTGTACCAGGTTAGGACATTATTTCATTCCAATTTTTTCTTATTTCAGTTCAATTACAAGTTCGGGGACTGTCTGTGTTAGCCAAGTGAATATAGTCCTGCCAATAGGTTTCAGTCCCTTTACACAACTTGATGTAAAGTGTGGGCGAACAAAATTAGTTACCTCCATATTGGTACACACACTTCTGAAGCACCCAATTTCGTTATGAAGCCAGTTCTCAATGTATCTCAACCAGGATTGTTGTTTTTTTAATCAGTAATTTTGTTTTTTAGTCATTTTAATACACCAGTGAGGATCAAAACAATATATGATATGAATAAATCCCCTTTGCATTTTAAAAAAAATTTTAAGACTTTATGGACACCTCGCAAGTACGATTTAAAGAGCAGAAATGATTATCAACTCGGAGATCTTAAGGATTTGTATGGATATACAAAGAATGCAAAAAAAGTTATTTCAAGATGATGAGAATCAGCTTTTCTCACAATCAGATAGGATTTACATATTTATCCCGGGGTTAAAGAAAGCCGATAAGACAGTTTAATCATATGGCAAATCACTTCCCCTTGCCCGGTTACCAATTCATGTTGGTTTCAGATGCATGAACTAGATCAGGGTGGTCCAAGGTTGTAGGCTACGCCGGCCACAAATTATTCTTGCATTGTTCGCGGGCCACAATAGTGCCAAAAATAGGTAAACAGTGCAATACAAAACAAACACTTTTATTGTGCAAACACATAGTTATCAGACACAGGCTAATAGAATGGGCATTAGATTTTTAGTTTTCTATGATGCCTATATTGTTAGCATATTTTCCCGATCAAAGAGATAGAAAGCCAGATAATAATTTAGACTGCCAAGCACATCATTCAACTTCGCTATTTGCCTCAGCTAGCCATAACACTAGTCAATTCAGTGACATTATTGATGTAACAATATGTCAAAAGATTTTTCTGAATAATTTTATTACAAAACAACACAAAATGCGATTTTTTGATCACTCTCCGAATGTGACACGGGCCACAGATGATAAAGCGGCGGGCCACATGTGGGCCGGGGGCCTGGGTTTGGACCACCCTGAACTAGATAAAGAATCAGATGTGCCGTATATAACAATATTTCAATCCAGAATAAATTTGTTTTGAATAAGAACCTGAAAATGGCAACCCTACATAAACAGTGTACCACAACACTATACGGTGAAAACATGCAATATTATTCAAGAAAAAAAATTGAGTAAATGAAAATAATACATGGTGTTCTTTATAAACAAAAAAATGACTTGATTGAGACTAATCTATGTAATTCAAGAGATGCACAATAACACAAATGTATTTCTGTTTGAAGCAGCTGGAGAAATCTGATCTGACTTTGTCAGACATATCGTAATGTCGCAGAAACATATTTGTTTCACTGTGCATCAAGACTCCCACTTAAATTACATAGAATAGTCTTCTTTTGCTCTTGCTACAGCATCCTTGCAATATACGCAGATGAACCCAGTCACACAATGACATATAGAAAAGTGAGTACTCACGCAATATATCCACAATCAGGTAAATTTAAATGTAGTAAACATGATTTGAAAGACTAAAGACCAATCTCAAATTTTTCCATTTAATTTTTCGTTGTAAAAAAAAGAAAATCTTTTTAACTATTTCTGGAAGATTCTTGCCAGTCATGTTTTATTGATTCCCACTAATGTCAGAGGGGAGCGTACTTGCCTAACCGGACTCTCCGATTAAAGAATTGATAAGGAGTTATTCTATGTCAGTCGTTCTCAACCTTTTTAATGACTGCGTAGCGTACCAATTTAGTGTTTTTACTTTGGCCGTGTACCACCGACACCTCCACAATACACACGCTATAGGATTATTTTGCGTGCTCCTGAAGTACGTTTGGGTGTAACCTGGGTTCAGGTTGTGCGTCATTTTGGTGCGCATACTTCGGGAGGTCCTTATTCTGTAATGTGTATGGGATGATTTTATATTATTTTATTGTGACGTAACACGCAAAACAAGTGATATAGTAGACAGACAAATTATGGTCGAATTCAAGATAGTCGAGTTTTTCCAATGCAATTTTAGTGAAGTTTAATCCTACACTTTGAAAAAGTAGACAAGCTGCTATTGGGACAGGGAACCCTTTCAAATATTTGCAATATCAACGTCAGTTTATAATGGACATAAGATACGTAAGACATGGAGACATACGAAAAATTCGGCGCTCCAGAAGTGTATGTACCAATATGTTATACTATGTAAAGAACCGATACCCAGGGAAATGGTGAAATTACGGAAAAGGGAATGTAAGAAAAGGGTGATAACAGCTTGCGAATACTAATGACTCATGCAGTGGTACACACACTACGGGACTAGCAAAAATTCTTACCAAAAGTAAAATAACCGACAACAACATAAAACATGCATTCAACAACTCAAGTATACATCATTTCAGCCATACTCGACATTTTCTGTGGAAGAAACAAAAAATCTTCCATGTATGAGGAGAGCTCGTCCACAGACATTGACATGTCCTGTTCACACATTCGAGCCTGGAATGAGCAAGATCTTTCAATATTTGGAATAGGCTTCGAAGAATTTGGTGGAATATTGCTCGTAGAATGCTCCAAGTTAGTGGTATTGATAGGGGTCAATTTTGAAGATTGGTATTGCTCGTTTTTTGTCCGTTGCGTGAAAGATGGCGAACCAATTTCAAAACGAGGTACGTTGTCACAGACTTCATCATCTTTCGTAGAAGCTAAGTCCTTAAATGAAATGCCTGAAGCGGAATCAGCCCAATTTTTGAATCCTGCATCTTGTGGGACCAATTTGATAGTATTTTGCTCTCTAGAATTTATTCCTTCAGTGGAAAACTTTGATGATTGAATAACTTGTTTTCGCCGTGTAGGAAAATGAGATTTTGTTGATTCCATAGGTAAAGTATTACTTTTTGACAACGGCAAGAATTTGTTCCCAAATGACGATTCAGCGTTTTTATGTGAGGTTGTTGTAATCGGCGCCAAGTTTTTCGGCTTCGAATTGCCACAAGTTGGCAAAGTTTTGGCGTCAATTGTGAGTTCACAGAGTCTATCAAGAGCTCGTAATGTGTACGGACTAAGCATTGACTTTCGTTTTTCTCTGTACTTGAATGTAGGAGATCGCAATACTTTCCTTCCACACATTAATTCCCATAAATTATTATCCAAAAAAGTTTTCCTCGAAAAATTTTTACTCCTGTACACGAAACCTGGCTTTCGTAACGGACAAAACACTGGTTTGTGTTTTGATTTGATGGTTTTTATCTCAGGAAGCACAGGACAACGATCACGCCCTCGTTCATCTCGACTTTGTAAGACGCATATTTCTGGAATTGGTTGCAATCGACGCTCGCCACACCCTTTTGCTTCAACTTCATTCAAAACTTCCAAAAATTGTTGGAAATTTTTGTCGCACATATTTAATATAATTAGGTGATAATGATTAACATTGTAAGGCCTAACTTCTAAAAATAAAAAGATATTTATAACTAAAATTTAGTTGTGATATTCTTAAATGCAAGGCCAGGCTTCTCAACTTTAAAAAAATTAGGTTAATATAATAACGGGGCCATGTACACAACCCACCACTGAATATCGTGTCAATCATTGTTAGTTCAATAATTATTTACAGATAAGACGAATCATGGAAGTGTTTACCAATTTTAATCAGCTCCCTTGGCATTGGTCCTTCGTATAATTGCACATTCTGTTTGGATTACCTGGTCCCCGCCAAATTATTCTAAACGGGAACAGAGTTTAGCAAACTTGTGACTAACAATGTATATAATAATATATATAGCAATCTAAGCATTGGTCATTGGCACCTTAGAGCTATAAATAGGCTTATGCTTTCAACAGAGATGTTACTGGAGACCAGTTGACACAAGATTTGACAAATATTATAACTACATATTAAGTCTGCAGTATCAGGATAGATTTGATTACAATTTTCTCTGGAGAAATTGATAATGATTCTTATAATTATATGTTGTATGATTCTGGCTTTATTTCAATATTTTTTCACTTTGAAAGACATTCCCTATTCACTCAAGTCAACCATACTTTCTTGTGGTTGTTAATGGAAACAATTAATCGTTAGGGCTGGGAATTTCAGGGAAAACACTTTAACCATTAACCCGGTAACCGCAGCGTGCTTTTGACGTAATATTTTATCATTTTAGCTTGTTACATCACAATGTATACAAAGCAATTTCACGTGATCTATTCTGGTATCGCTTTAAATTATTCACAACTCGAGATAGTTTGTGATCACTTTGCTGCAAGAGATATGCAGCATGCTTTGGACATAATATGTCCATATTATGAAAGTATGTCAGTACATCCCGATTCCGTTAATAAATGTCATTTATGAGACAAATTTTCAGTGCTCAATCTGCTAATTCTACTTTGAAATATCATAAAGAAAAACAGCATCAACAGCGCACTTGTTGGATGACATTGAATATACGATTTTGCAATAAAATCGTGAACAATATATTCTGACCAAAAAGTGATTCTGAATTTATCATTATCAAATTTTCATGATCCGCAATCTTGGTACCTCAATTATTTTTCAAATTTATTGGGTCCTTACCAATACAGTTAGTATTCTTTTAAATTGAACGCTACAGGAGATAAATTTGCGATGACGTAATCTTTTTTGAAGAAATTGTACATTATAAAAATGATTTGTACCTGAGATGTTAGTTAACGCTTAAAATAAATCATCACCATCTTAAATCGACTAACCATTCCCAGCCCTAGTAATCGTAGATGCTATTGTATCACTAACAATATGCTAATCTTACATATGACAGGTGCACATGGTTAATAAGCAAGGTCACTTGTCACATAGTTGGATATTAATATCACATAAATTATCAAACGCACATAATAAAATAAGGCTTTGAATTACAAAATTAGCAAAAATTACATTACCAGATTACGGTACCTTACATTTGGGTTTTTTCAACTTTTTTGAAATGCAATTCTGTACCCCACACAAGACCTAAATAAGATAAGAATTATAGCACAGCAAATAATTAACTTCCATCATAAATATATCAGCCGAACGTCAACGCTTAGATCATTTATCCATCAGACTGTCAGAACATCGACCGTGTCTGCAAGTCGCGACACAGCCCAGCGCAATACTGTGCTAACCTGAACTATTAATTTAATTAGATAGATACCGGTAGTTTATTTCGAAAACTCCATAACAAACCTAAATGAAAATTCAAATTGAGGCCGTAATAAAAACTTCCATTACTAAATTAAACTAGTAATTATGTTGTATTCCCATAATTGCACCAGCGACTAATTTTCTAAATTAAAGTATTATCGCAACCAAAACAAAATTCTAGCAAAATCGACAGCTGCCGTGGTGACGAATCTTTGTTTCCTTTCTTGATTGACAAGTTAGTTTCATGCTTGAGTGCGCTCAATATATTGAGTCACTATATCTGACGTCATATGACATTTCACATGATAAATTTGATAAAAATCCTTTCTTTTGTTCGAGTATCCTATCATTTGTTTTTAATAAATTAAAATAGATAGTTGAATAATCTACTGAAAGCTCAATGATGATAAAAAATCTGGAATTTCCAAACTACACTTTCCATGTCCGTGGAGATAAGTATAAGTTTATTTCGACTCCACAATCAGCATAAAAGACGATAAAATAATTGATAAAAACAAAATAAATTAAACTGATTATAGAATCCGGAAAGCAAACAAAACCCCAAGTAAGGTTTAAAGCGTACATATTTTAGATGGAAAGATATTGATAAAAGAAATAGTACGTGTTCGCTCACCTAATTCGTTAATACGTGATATCACTTTAAAATGAGTTTTTCTGTATTTTAATGGTTCAAAATTAAGCGCAATAGGAAACTAACAAAGTTAAATTATTCACAATGACCAACCAAACTATTATTGGGATAAAATTGGCCATTTCATTTTGCCTAAGTAAACTTGAATTGATGAAAAATACAACATTACATAAAGTTCATGTAATAATGAAGTTACTATTCAATTATCATTGATATTTCTGTTGTTAATTAAAAAAAGTCAATTTTTTAAGAACAGCCAATGAGCATATATATATATATATATATGCTCATTGGAACAGCTGACACGCATGAAATACTACGACATGTTGCAAATCTCTGGCGCCACCTTTTCTTCTCTGGCCACTCCGTGCGTTGGTCGTGTTTCTGGTGCGTTTTTTAGATATTTTATCTTTTTATTGAAAAATCAAATTGTTAGTGCCCTTTTTCAATACTTTTTGTGACAAATGAAAAATTAATACAGTTAGTGTTTGGCCGCTATTGATATATTTTGTTGAAAAACCCTAGTGACGGCTCACAGACAACCAAAATATTGACCATTTTTTTTCACATGGGAGTAGAGTTTATTCGTAATTTTGCTACAGGAGTGGTGACTTCTCTACGGCCGATGGGCCGGGGCCACGGCCCATCTAATTAAGCCACATGGGCCGTGGCCCATAGCTTGATGGGCCGCGGCCCCATTAGAAAAAATTCAATTATCTTAACAAAATTTTCAATTTTTACCAAATTGTCAATATTCGAACCAAAAAAATATACTCCTGTAGTATGTGTACCAGGTTAGGGTTAGGACAAAAAAAAATTCATATTTTTCACATTATAGTTCTATTATGAGTTCGGGGACTGTCTGTGTTAGCCAAGTGAATAGTGTCTTTACACAACTTGATGGGCCCCGGCCCATGGGCCGCAGAGGAGTCACCACTCCCACTCTAATTTTGGTTTTCGTATATTTGAACCCACGACAATTGCACCTGCATACTAATGCACCTATGGAATTTGTTTTTTGTTTTACGGATATTTGAACCCATACTAACCCTAACCCATGGATTTTAGCACCCGCATATAGATTGAACCCGCAGTTATACACATGGGTTCAAATGTACGGTCACCGTAATTTTACCCCAGCAACAATATGGAAACCTATCCCAGTAACCAGAATGTGATAAAAACTGAACCTCTGAACACCATGAACTTGATACTGTGATTAGCTCAGGGTTTTAAAAAATTTGTAAAGTGAAATATATATATATACATGGCGGGGTGGTGTGGCTCATCACTAAGCGTCAGGAATACGCTCGCCACCGCACCTCTGCGTGGGTTCGAATCCCATGCGGGGATAATTATGTATGAGAGGATTGCTGGACTCCTCGCCGATGTAGGGTGGTTCACGTAACCGCTGGTCGGTTACGGCTTCCTCCATCATCAAGTCCATGCTCCCGAAAACAAATAACTAATCCCATATCTGACATGGAATGATAACCGGACGAGAGGGTCGTGGTTCGCCATATGGTTAAGCCGTGTTATCGGCTTTCCTTTCCCCTGGGATAAATATGTAAATCCTATCCTACATCTGATATATACCTACGTCTGTACATTTCTGCATTTAGTAGTTTGAGTAACACATATGATAATTTTTTCAATCTTATATTTCAGAAGCGTGACGTAACCTGGTTCTATCCCTCGCTTATTAATCAGAAAGATGCAGAACGACACAGGTAGAAATGCTTAAACTCGTTGTTTCTTAAAGTTTAGTTTAATATTATTCATGTCTACCCGAATTGCAGTCAGATTTATCATTTATACTCGATAAACCATGTCTTGTCAGAATTAAACACAACCCAATACAGATGTGAAAATGTTGCCAGGCCACACTTCTTTGCTTATATGATAAGAACGTAACAGCATGGTTCCCCAATTTCAAGATAGCCTCGATATTGAAAGACGTCAATTATAACAGTGAATGCAAACTCTTTCTTTACAAGACAGTCTGGGCCTCCACATCAGCAAACTGTACAATAAATTATAAAAAGCATAAACTAAAAAAATAAATTTTTTTACTGAAGGAATAAATTTTTTTAGCGTTCAGAATTTTTTTTAAAACGTGATAGCTGACGCATATCGCGATTGATTTAAATTAGTATCAAGACAAGCATGGTGCATATTTGCCGTCGTGCCAGGCGCCTTTGTTTCAGAGACAAATGAAGTGTCTGCTTTATGAACCTAGGTGTTGGTACATCTTTGAATTGGTAGAATTGTGCCCTACTGTAATAATGAAACCGAACAATGACATGGTTAATTGATAACCCTGTAATTTTTTTTTATTGAAACCAAACTGCTAGTCTACATTTTTATAGCAATTAGCAAATGTATAATCTACCACAATCCTGTTTTCATCAACCGTTTTCCACAGTGTGCAATTGGTATTTTCCATAAAGTGTTGTATTATACTGGGTGTCATTTTGTGAGTTGAATCAGAAATGAAAGCTTTTTTTTCTAAGTAAGGTTTTGAGTCCTCAGTAAATATAAATAAGTTACTTATAAAAAGAAAATACAAACAACTTCAACGCACTTCTATGTAGACTTTTTCTCGTATATTATATATATATTTTTTAATTGTATGGGTTTTTGTTAGCCTTCATCAAAAGTATAGCTGTACTGAATACGAATTTTCAGGTGAAATAGAATAAATAACAGTTTTAAAAAATTGACAATTTAAAATATTCGTTTTTAGGTGAAATAGTGGACTTGTACATTCCTCGCAAATGCTCAGCGAGTGGCAGAATCATTTCTGCGAAAGATCATGCTTCAATTCAACTCAATCTAGGTGACGTCGATGAGAACGGTCGTTACACCGGATCCACTAAGATCTATGCGATCTGTGGCGAAATCAGACGAATGGTAATAAATTCCATAATAGAAATAATATGTTTTTAATTCTATCCTGTTATTGTTATTGTTCCTGTTACTACTGAAGTACTGATCGAACCTACTGTAATTTAAGTTATCATAACCTAAGATAAACGATGTAAAAGGAAGCATAAAAAATCCATTAAAATTCACACGATCTGTGTTGAAGTGTTGGGCTTTGAAGCAAGAATGCATCTAATGCTTTTTTGTTAACTGCCAGAGACCATTGCCAAGATTTGTTAACCTTGAAGGAAACTGGAGCATGCAAAGGGGGGTAATAAAAAAATTTAAGTTTTCAATTTTTCAGTATTCTGATTGAACCCGTAAGTAGGCATTTGTGAATGAACTTGCTGATTTGAATTATTATGGAACAAGCGCGTTTTATTGCGATTTACGCTGTAAAAAAAATCAGTTTTAACCTACTAAACTGTTCTCCATCATATGCTATCAAACTACCTCTTTCCAGCTACTACCTTTTAATACCCGGGCCATAAGCTAGCAGTTTTGTATAAACACAGTGATTCAAGTTTATTTCAATTTGGACATGGTTAATTAGGATTTATCATAAATACAAGAATAGCTTTTTACCAAACCATTTACATGCGACATTCGAGCTTATGACGTGCCAGTGCCGCATTGGGCATATATGGGGCCTATTATATACCTAAATATATCTTTGAATCTCATTAGTAAGAGCTCCTTGTACATAACAGTTGGAATAATAGAAGAAAGCAATTCTACAAAGCATAGCCTATATGCTCGTTTCACAGCCCGATCTTGATTAAGGGCCCGTTTGATTAGCGGCCCATATGGACAGAACATAAAAATAAATAAGGGCCGGTGCTTGAATACCCGCCCAAAGTAAAAGCTGATTTTTCAGTGGTAGAGAACAATAGGAAATAAGAAGCGCTTTTGTCACAACGCTGTTGAATTTTAAGCGCTGGTAGATAACCCTCACGCCTTAGGCGTCCAATTACATAACAGATAGCATTGATTACGTAACACGGTGGTTCTCAAACTGGGCGTCGCGACGTCCAAGTGCGTCGTTTCAATATTGATAGGGCGTCAACTTTTTTTCTTTTGCAGATTTGTAACTGCGGTGCATAGAAAAAGTCAAAATTTTCGTTATTTTTTAAATCATACTTTTGAACTGGAAATCATTATCTTTATTACATTTCAGGGTGAATCGGACGATTGCTTGAACAGACTTGCATCTGGTGATGGTATTGTCACGAAGTAGGTATCCATAGTAAATATGTAACATCGCTAAGGTAATTGTAATGTGTTACATATAATGGGTTAATAAAAGTATAGTAGTATCGGTTGTTTAATTGATTAATTATTATTATTAACTGTTAACCCACTTTTGGTCGACTCTGTATTCCGTTAAGGAAGAGGTGGAAAGTTACAGATAATAAACTTGGACGAAGGCTCAAAACTCAATAGGGCAATTCCAGCGTTACTTTCGTTACATCTGAGCAAATTTTTAAATTTCAAACTGACTTAACCTAAAACGTATTAGTAGTATGCAAGTCACATTGTTACTAGTTGTAGATGGCATTAGGGGTGTAACATAGACACCATAGAGGTGGCGATACTATGGACTAGTTTCCCATAGTAATGCCCTGAAACCGTTACTTGCGTTACAGAAAAAGGACACATGTTTTTTTAGTAAAAATATTTCATATTTATGAAAAACTTGGGCAAAAAGTTATTCCACAACAGCTAGGCTAAAGTTTAACTAAGAAGCACATCTTCCGGAAACAAACAATATAACTAATCCCATACCCGACTTGGAATGGTGACCGGACGAGAGGCCGTGGTTCGCCATATGGTAAAGCCGTCTTATCGGCTTTCCTCTCCCCCGGGATAAATATGTAAATCCTATCCTATCCTAAGCACAATGTACTAATCTGGGTCATCATGGCGTTATTTTTATTGATACTTTCAACGAAAATTGATATCCATAAAAACAATGGCAGTACTTACAGCAAACACAAATGGGACTGATGAAACACTTTGGTAGGCCGGATCTGTCCCTGGGGTCCTAATTTGCCAACCCCTGCTTTAGGGTGAATTGAGAATCAGTGTTTGAAAGGCTAGAGTTGTTAACTTGACTAGCGTTTAATTCTATTCATGATTAATCAATGTAGTGTCTAGACTTACCATATTTCCCGCTTTTCTAGACCCAAATTTTCTTAATGTAATGTTCTTATATGGTGGACGCAATCGCGAGTTAGGTTGAACACAATTAGATTGAAATTTAAAGACAGTTTGAATTCTTGTAGTTGTTATGGATTGAATATTACTCTACAAGAAAAAGTCATTATGGGCTATTTTAACCAATGCGCAAAGGCGGCAACCGCTCAAAAGCCTCTGCATGGTAATTTGAGATTCCGATGTTGATGCGATTTTACTACTCGTCTTATTGGCAGGTTATATGCGAAAAGCCATTTTTCCAGGCTTAAAAACGGTCCTCGTCTTATTCATCGGGTAAACTTATTCGCCGGGAAATACGGTAACTCAGTGATTGACTCTAGTTCGATGACTCACGGCTTGATTTAAGGACTGCTAACCAATCCTTCTGAGAATTAAAAAAAACTTTATGTGTTCTGATAAATACTTCTTTGTGAGGTTATTGCAGTCTAAACATGGCACTAGACAACTTGTTATGAGTTGTTATCATAGTTTGAAAAGGCCTGTAGGAGTAAACTTGGAGGGTACCTAAATTGGGAAGTTAGCTTTGTTTCAATATATCCCAACTGTGTGGGTTGGTTCTCTTTGCCAATAAAACCTAATGGGTGCTCCCGAAGTATGCGAACCAAGATGGCGGACATCGGAACGTAACATGGGTAACAGGTTAGGGTTAGGCGATAATTTTTTTCCAATTTTCCTTATTTTAGTCCTATTATCAGTTCGAAGACTAGCCAAGAGCCTCCCTTAGTATTTATACCTAAAATTATGGCCTAACTCTAACCTAGTACACATATTACATTCCGATGTCCGCCATCTTGGTTCGCATACTTCGGGAGCCCCACCTAATGTTTGCAACACTTATTTTGCTATAAATCTGACCATTTGTCCTAAGTTTTATATCTATTCATAACCAGAACATCAGATTTACGACAAGCACCATGTTTTAAATTTTAATGCAGAAGCACCGGTACTCTCAAAGTATGTGAGGCGGAAAGCGGAACGTACTATGTGTACCAGGTTAGGCCATAGTTTCAGGTACAAATACTACGGGAGTCACTTGGCTAGTCTCCGAAGTCGTAATAGAACTAAAATAAGGAAAATAGGGATAAAATCCTGGTACACTTACTGCGTTCCGGTGTCCGCCATCTTGGTTCACATCCTCCGGGAGTACCGATACACCTGCCTAATTAATTTTTCTCTAAACTTCTTCTGAGAATATAATTTGTTTTTTTTTAGGGGAACACTTATCTGAAAGTCGGGAACACTGTCCTGAAGACGTCACAACTCTGAGGATTGAATTCATGTTTCATGCTGTAATAAAATTGGCATGGACTAGTTTTGTTTGATATTTTTGATATGTTCAGAAGGATTTTTAATGCACGAGTTTATCCATCAGAATTTCAGTGGTTATGTGACTCCTGTCTGTATTAGAGATGAACCGGAACCGATATTTCATAACGCCGATATTCCGATACTAATACTATGTAATTGTGGGATTTTCTTGTATATATATATCTCATGGGAGAGGAAAGTCGACTTAATCGTGTGGCGATCCACGGCCTCTCATCCGTTCATATCGGTATGGGATTAGTTGGCCTGTTGTTTGTTTTCGAAATCATGGAAGTGATTGATGGCGAAGGAAGCCCTAACCTGAATTTTACAGGACAGGCGGGATAGAGGCCGGCATTATCTATAGCGCACGTAATTTTAACTTGAAAAGAAGATATTCCCAGGCTTGTCAGTGGGACGGATTTTTGTCCCATCCCATGGGATTCCCATTGAGATTAGGGTTGCCATATCGTCCGGAATTTAGGGTTAAATTTTGCGTTCGGGAAGAATTTAAAAAATGCTTAAATGTCCGGAATTTTACTGCATCTGCAATCGTACTGTGCACACTGCTAATAAAGAACATTGTTATTTCGTACCGTGCGCATATTTTTTACTACGAGGTCTTGAAAATAGTCATGAACTGTCCGGAATTTTGCTTTTTCAAATATGGTGACCCTAATTGAGATACAATAAACATTTCAATAAAAATTATCAAAATTTGGGCTTAGTGTCTATTAAATAGGACTACATGTACAAAGAAACATGCAAGACGGCAAAGTTTATTAACTTTAAATTTCAGTATCACTGCCAAAACTACTCGAAGAAGTTACTAGTGATTGGAGAAACGTTCTTCCGTCCCGGAAACCACAAGATTCTAATCCGCGCAAGGTAATCCGAGGTATGGTTGCAAGCGTGTTCCTAGACGCAGTGGTTCTCAAATGGTAGGGCGCGCAGACAATTTTGGGGCGTTAGGCTGCATAAAAATATTTGTTAGATTTGATCTTTCCCGCCTTATTTTTTAAATAATTACGCTCCAGTCACGTATTTCTAACGTGTTTTTTTAATAAAATGTACTTTCGCCTTACTATCTGTTATTTGTAGCATTTTGTTAACTGATTATTTTTTTTATGTGAGGCGCGAGAAAAAAAGTTTGAGAACCACTGTTAACGCCTGACATGAGCCGCTAACCTGCGAGAATTTTATCTAGCGGGACGGGGTTTAATGGGTTTCTGGAGCAGTGCAAGATTCTCGTTTTGGGCGCACTGTGTCAATTTCCCAATATCTATTTGCGTGAAACAGCATTTTCTGTCAACTTTCAAGAATAAATTACTAGAATAGTGTGGATAAGTGAATAAAGATTTGGTGCTCCTGAAGTATGCGCACCAAGATGTCGCATAACCTGAACCCTAACCTGGTACACAACCTGAGTTCAGGTTGTGCGCCATCTTGGTGCGCATACTTCAGGAGGTCCGAAGATTTTTATTACAAATGAGATTCGGACCTACACAGTACACAGGGTATCAGGAGTGCGAGAGGATTGCAAGCGTATTCCCAACGCCTAGCGCGATACGACAACCGTCCAGCATTTTTTGTGATCGAATCAATATTCTCACAGGTTAGGTTTAACTAGAATGGTACTCCCGAAGTATGCGTACCAAGATGGCTGACACCGAAACGTAGTATGTGTACCAGGTTAGTTTTAGGCCATAATTTTAGGTACAAATACTACGGGAGCCATTTGGCTAGTCCCCGAACTAGTAATAGAACTAAAATAAGAAAAACTGGAATCAAATTATGGCCTAATCCTAACCTGGTATACATGCTACGTTCCGGTGTCCGCCATCATGGTACGCGTACTTCAGAACAGTGTTATTCAACCGGGTGTCTGTATAACACTTATTGGGGGTTCCGTGAGAGTTTCGCGTTTTCCGAGTGAACTGTGTCAATTTCCCAATATCTGTTTGCGTGAAACAGCCTTTTCTGCTTAAACAACTATTAGTAGACCCACCATACGTCTCGGTTTATCCGAGACATTCCCGGTTTTAGCAAGTTTTTCGGCCGTCTCGGCGGTAGACCTAAATGTCCCGGTTCAGCAGTATGACAGTCATAAATAATTTTTCTTATTTGATACTGTTACAAAATTTGTTTTATAACGAAGGCAGCCGATTTACCACTGATTCGCGTCTCACTACACTAGTTCAGATAAAGCTAAAAATTGAATCGTAAACGCTGAATCATGACGAAACAAAGTACGTGTTTCTAATGAGTTGAAGGATTTCCATTATTTGAAGCAAAGAACAACAGAGGATATTATAATAAAATTTACAGCCAATTTTGATGTCTATAATCTACCCACAATGGTATGGGAAACGTTAAACTATTACATAGCCTCTGAAATCGAGCCAAGGTTGGCGTGTCCAATCCGCACCGTCCCGTTTTTTTTGCTTCAGATTTATGGTAAGCCTAACTATTAGCAATAAAACCCAAGTCACTTGAATAGTGTATTGTAGATAGATAGACAAGTGAATAAAGATTTCCTCGAGCGGCGATTTAAGAAGTTTGTTAGCGAAATGCTGCGCACGGCACTCATTCCCTCATTAAATTTGCGGCAGAAAGCTTTTCCTTCAGGCAATTAATTTGAAATTTTATTCAGTGTCATGAACGATGTCGATTGGAATTGCTTTAGTTAGGCACAGTGAAATTCTACCACTTCAAATTGTTTGAATTTGCGGTACTCCCGAAGTATGTGAACCAAGATGGCAGACGTCGGAACGTAGTGTGTGTAGGCTACCAGGTTAGGGTTAAACCATAATTGCAGGTACAAATATTACGGGAGTCACTTGGCAGATCCCGAACTCGTAATAGAACTGAAATAAGGAAAACTGGCATAAAATTATGGCCCAACCCTATCCTGGTACACATACTACGTTCCGGTGTGCGCAATCTTGGTTCACATACTTCGGTAGTCCCGAATTTACAGGGGTAATTAATTTATGTGTGAGCGTGAGCAAGGTACCGAGTATCGTATTCACAGTCAAGTTTATTTTTTCCAGTCAGTGAAATTTGCGTTAAAAATTGTGACATAAAAGTTAGAAACTGAACTCTATGAGAATGGATTTATGCTATTGAATTCTTACCGCTGGAGAGGAAAGTCGATAAGACGGTTTAATCATATAACGTACAACGGCCTCACGTCCGGTTACCAGTCCATGTCGGGTATGGAATTAGTTAGTTATTTGTTTCAGATGATACATGGACTCGATGATGGATGATGTCATAATCGATCAGCGGTTATGTGAACTAAGGGGCGGCGAAGGGGCCAGCAATGCTCCCGCGCATATTTATTACCCACGGGATGATAATGTATTCTTAACGCTAAGCACGACATCAAATCGGGTCATAACTCAAATTCTATACAAGGATAATTGAGTCGGCATTGACTCAGAAACACGGGTTTAACATGTCCGTACATGCATTGCGTTTCCGCTATGATCGCGCATGTATTATTTTTCAAATTATCAAATCACGGAATACAAAGAATATTAAAGAAACGATTTATATTCGCATTTGTAGAGCAATTGTTGCAATACCGCAGTAGTGGGATTCGTGGCAGTTAGCGTACGTTCTTGGAATGTCGGCGAACCTATTTTTGTTGTCAGAGGACCGCAGTGAGTTACGTGCACCGCAACTGAAGACTAGCGTTATTTTAAGAGTTTCCATAGTTATGTATCGGAGTTTTGTAAAGCGTGTCATATCTTACTACGTAAGCTACGTACATTTGCCAAAATGAGGGAAATTATTGTTAGCGAGTTCGTTACAAAAGAGAATCGTTTTTTGAATTTGGAACCACATCACTGCTGTAATGTATTATGACAGGTAAAAACTAAATGGCTCGGCGATGCGGCGAATCGTGCCAAGCATTAGGAATGCGTTCTTCACTGCACCTCTGATTAGCCTGCGTGGGTTTGCGTCTCATGCTAATCACGGGGCGAACCGCTTTCAAATTTCGTTACCTAAAGCTTGGCTCTTGTTAGGGTCACTATGCTTATGCTTTCCTATATTTTGAGTCTCCTGTGATTTAGGTCCTTGATTTATATTTGCGTGAATGTCTGATGGCGTAGTTCATGAGGCGTAGTTCTTTTAAATCTATTGAGTTTGATTATATATTCTAGGCAGGTAGAAAGCTATAAATGAAATGGACTTGTTTTCCGTACCGTCACTGGGGGAAGGGAATTTTCCTTTGTATTTGCTGTAGTATTACCAATATTTTTCAGTTCATTAATATTAATCGTAACAATTGCTTTATTCGTAAAATGCTTCAATCAAATGATTTCAAATTGATTACTAATTACTCATCACTTTTTCCTTTCAATTTCCAAGTTGTTTTCATTTCGCCGTAAATTGAATTCTTGCATCATTCGTAATTTATTTTTATTTTACTCAGTCAGAACTATAATATTACATCATAAGTGGTTTTCCGAGGGAGGGTGACATTAGAGTGGATGTTGCGGCTCCGATCAGGTTTGAGTTTGACGGAACGGAAGCCAAATGGCTCTTTCAATGCTAAAGGTTGCCGGCCCGTGGCTTATATCTATATTTTTATTAATTGTGCACTGATAATAATATATATTCAGACAAATATGAGATACAGGCTAGGAATATGCGTAGCGATTTTACCTATTATCATATGCGGCGTAATCTATCATAAGAAAAAAGGCTCAGTTTTGCCCGAAGTTGTGAGACAAGCTACTCAACAGCTAACCAATATGATAAAATACGCGTCGGTGGAAAACAGCGTTTTTAGCGACAGAAAACTTCTAAATGTAAGTATATTTCATGTATATGTGCATTGTAGATTTGTTTGAATGTATTTTTTGTCGCGGGCCACTTTCATGTGAGGAAAGTCATTGCGGGCCGCAAACGTTTTTGCCAAAGTTAAAATATCATCCCAATTCTGATTTACGTTTGAATTTGAGCGTCGATAAATCAAACGCTTGGATTGCACAACACTTTTGCGGATTTCTGAACACAACATGCACACAAGGACCATGAACCATAAAGTTCAACTGAACTTTTACGCAAAATGCAAAATTTTTGAGCAATAATATACATTGGCATAAAAAATAAAAAATGTCAGCAACATTTTTTCAGATAGTACGAAATTTGCCTTTGTATGTCATTGCGCAACTGTTTAATATCAACAGGTAGTTTTGATACCGCACGGCGTATCTGGTCGTTTTGTCATTCGTCAGCTTACTCCTATTCCTCGACCTCATAATTTTCAATTTAGAAAAAAAAGATTTGCACAAATATGTTGTTCCCATTGCCGCCGCAATACGCATCGCCATTTGTTTCAGGATAGGAAACTTATCTCCATCGATATACTTGACTGTAGAATTCAAGTTTTCCATTTCTTTGAAACAAGCATTTCAGTTCTGTTTTGACTGGATCAATTCAAGTTGCATGTAATCTGGGGCATCTTCCACTCGAATGTGAAATAAACACATAAAAATTTTAGAGAGATTTTTGTAAGTTTTCGAATTTCTCTTTAAATGATATCAACAACTTCGTCGCAATATTTATAAAAACTTCAAGAGGGCCCCATGCGGCCCGCGAGCCACTGGTTGGACATCCCTGCTAGACTCTAGTCTAGACTTTACATGGGCAAACTACGACTCAATCTGGCCTGCCTGATGCTGCCACAACCCAACTAAAACCAAATTTTGATGTTTTTTCTTAAAAAAATAGTTCAAGAAATTTGTTGAGTTTACAATAAATTTAGTTTTGGCACGAGGCTACTTGTTTTCCACGTTTGCCTTTGTAACACTGTAAGTATTCTTTAACAAATGTAACTTTTTACGTCATGCTTGTAAGTCCGCCAGTCAAGAGGGGCAAAAACCTTGGTCCAAAAACTTGCCCACTCCTGCTCTAGACGAATATTTTTAGGCCGTGTCGAAAAAATGTCATACGCAGCCGCCTTGGGCTCCGCACTTCCATATGTCCCAGGTTGTTAAGTTTAACCATGATGCCGTGTTTCCCAAAAAATAGGAAAGTGGCTTATTTCAGGTTTCATTCAAAAAATAACACTTGTGCTTATTTTGGGAGGATGTCTTTTATTTTCATTTATCGAAACAGAATTACAAAGTTGAGAATTACGAGATTTTCAAATATACAAAATATGAAAACCGATATCCATTTACTTATAAATAACACGTTTTTATTTAAAAAAATGCTAAACAAAGATTTTTCAACAATAACTAATCATTTAAAATGTGTAGGGGGTGATTTCCTGCTATCGACTAGGTCTTATTTTAAGGGGAGGGCTGATATTAGATCATTTTTAAACTTCAGTCTTGGTTCTATTTTCGGGGAAACACGGTTTATTCTGTGCTGATAATACTCGTAAAGTAGTTACTTTGATTCTTATTTTGTATAGTGGTTATTAAAAGTTAAGGCTTGATTTTTAGTTAATTATATATCTAGTAAGCATATGTTTATTGTCTGTGCCAAACCGGAGATTTTATAGTCTATAACAGGGGTGTATAAACATTTTTTGTCGGTGGGTCAAAAAATCAATTTCAGACATCTGACTGGGCCACACACAAAAAAAGTAGGTTTTTCTTGCACACGACAAATTAAAAATTAGCGACAACCAGAGCCGACTAGAACGGCAAAAGATTTAACGCAGCGACGATAGCAGAGCAAAAATCAATATGTATTTTTACCGATGTGAACGACTTTTTAAACGTAATCTGTCAGACTAAGATTTTGTGCTTGATGGGGAAAATATGAATGTTGACAGGGACTAAATGGCTTGGCGGGCCGCTGTACACCCCTGGTCTATGAACGCTTGTACTGGGTCTTATTCTGAGCGGAAGGTGTGAGAATGCATTGTATAAAAAAAACTCAAAGAACTGTAATTTTATATTAACAGAATTGGCCCAAGTGGACGAAAAAAATGATGATGCAGCCTTGGATGGATTCAGAGAACAAAAACAGCACAGATGAAATAAAAGGTGAACAAAAGAGACTTCCAACGGTATGGGTTTGCTAATTGTAATTTTCTGCCTGTTGGGTTTTCATGAAGAAAACGAAAGAGCAATACTTGAATGTATATACAAGAAGGTCAAATAAACTGCGGTAATATAGCAGCAAAATTCCAATCAGGAAAGTGTTGGGGAATTTCGGAAAACGCTGGTTTTCATGAGTATTGAGGTTTAAAAAGCGTTTAAGCCACGAAAAATTGCTACATTTTAAAGCGGGGAATCGTTATTAATGGTTTTTTACATTTACCATTGCCAAGTGGTTTAATTTATTTTCGTGTTATCGTTACAGGTGATTGGTATCGGCGTCCGCAAATGTGGAACGACCGCATTCCATAACTTTATGCGCATCCATCCACAATTTAAACCTGCAGAAGGCGAAGTTCATTTCTTCGACTCGGACTTCTATGATGAAGGAAAGGAGGCTTACAGGTGAGGAGATCTGATCTGTGGTTTACAGGGTTAGCGTTCTAGAATGCACGACTAATAGACACATCCCACAACCTCAATTACTCCTACGAAAATGTGTTTGACATTTAAACTTTTGTATGATTGTACCCACAAGTTTCAGTAAATTAGAACGCTTTAAACAAAGTTTTGTTCCCTCTAAAAGATGTCCCAAATAACATTCTGTTTTATATTTCACTATATTCCACTGTATGTATTATTACAAGCTTCAAAATTCGATTTGCTGACGTCGTGTTTTCTTCTATCTATCTATGTGCGTTGTGTGGTATTGTTTAGGGCGCTCCGGAAGTATTCGTATCAAGATGACGCACAACCTGAACAACCCGGACCTGGTACACATACTATGTTCAAGTTATGCGCCATCTTGGTACGAATACTTCGGGAGCACCTTGTTTTATGTGTCGATGGGGGACGCGCGCTTTGCACGTCTCCAACTTTACTTCACTTGCTGTCTCTTTTTCGGGTTTTCCCTCCTTTTTCTTGGTTTGTGACGCTCTTACAATTTTTCACTTTTGCTAATATTGGTGTCAGATTAGGACTCGTGTTTTAAATTTCCTGGAGCCGAAGACAAATTTCAAACACCGCCAATTTTAAATAGTAACCCAACTTTTTATACTTACCCTAACAACTTTGGCCTTCGTTTTCATATATTTGAACATCGCTCTCTTGTTCTTTTTAGGAACAGAATGCCGTGTCTAATCCGGGTGATGCAGTTTTTGAAAATCACCCCGATATTTTTTGCTCTCCAGTGCCGAGCAGAATCATGATATGCTACCAAAGCCAAAATAATTATCATTCTCTGCGATCCGGTATTACGAGCGTTCTCGGACTTCTTTTTCCTAAAACGGCAGAAAGACCTTACAGACGTAAATGGGTAATGGATGTTTTTTTGGTACTCATGTAGTATGTGAACCAACATGGCGGACACCGGGACGTATGTGTAACCAGGTAGGCCATAATTGCAGGTACAAATACTACGGGAGTCACTAGGCTAGTCCCCAAACTCGTAATAGAACTAAAATAAGGACAATTAAGATAAATTATAGTCTAACCCTAACCTTGGTACACTACTACGTCTCGGTGTCCACCATCTTGGCGTTCATACTACGGGAGCGGCGTTTTTTTATATTGTTTTGTTGTTGTTGATTTTGGTACCTAGCACTGTGTTTTCCCGGCTTTTGACCCCAGCAATTAATTTATATATCAGAGGTGTACAACCTTTAATGCAGGCAGTGCAGAAATTTTAGTTATTGATCTCATGACATGCGTCGTTCGCTTTTGGCATTCTAACGTCATAGGCCTAGATAACAAAATGAACTGGGTATTTGCCCTGTAACGCAAATGTATTAGAAGTATTCGCACGTAACAGATTAAAATAAATTGAAAACTCGTTTCGCGGGCCGCACACACTACAAAATTGGCCCTCTTGTCTGTCGTTCATTGATCATTTAATATAGCAGGGAGTGCGCCACCCTTTTCACTGGAATGAAAGGTTAATAAATTCCTATATGTTATTGTTGCTGTTAAAATTGATGAATTGCGCGCTGAAAATTTCATTTTCATAAAAGGGTAACGATATTAAAAAGTTTGCGAACCATTGCCCAATAATATTAACCTGATGTCACGGACCATAGTGTCTGTATTTACGTTGTGAATAAATTTTTATGTTTATATGCTTTCTCCTTATTCCAGGGGTCGGCAGCCTGCGACTCGAGGGCCGGATCCGGCCAGCGGAGTAATATAATCCGGCCCGCGGTGCTTCACACTAAATTATAGTAACAAAACAGCTGTTTTGGCGATTACATTCTTAACTTAACAGAATTTATTGTGTGAGATAGTGTAAGATAAATTATATTATAATATTCACAATAATAATATTAATAAGTATAAAGTTCACAAGTACTCGTTTAATGAGCCTATAATATAATTAGACAAATGGCAACAAAACACATGAAAGTTGATGCTGAGTGCAAAGAGTTCACTAGCGCCGAAAATATTTAATTGGAATTTATTGAGATACAATGCAATGAGGAAAAAAATTTATTTTCTATTCTAGAGATGTATCATTGCTTGATTTTTAAAATAAAAGGTATCATCCGTTCGGTTTTCAACTTTCCAAAAATACGTGCGGGCCGCCAATGACTTGCAACCCTTAATTTTGGCCCGCGAATTACAAGAGGTTGCCGACCCCTGCTTTTACAATGCTGTTTTTTTCGGGTCTAAGTTTTGTGGTAACATCCAAATTTTGCATTATAAGACTCCGACCACCCATTGGTCATTACATGTGTGAAAAAAAATATATATCTTGCTCTCTTCTTCGGCCGTTGGCCGTTTTTCAGTTGTGTTTGATGCTTTTGCTGCTTCGAATATGGAGTTGCCGTATCAATAAGTAACCAATCCGGAATCTTGGGTCTTCTGATTTAATAACCACAGTAGCGAAAACCTATCTGTGACAATGACGAACGTGCGCCAGGATTTGGTCATAACATATCTGTGTTACTAAGAACATAAAAAGGTGGGCCCAACGCTCGGGCTACCACGCTATTGCTACTTCCTCACTGATATATATCAATATGAATGATTTGATTTATTTTAAAATTCAGGTCAGCAAGTTTAAAAGCTTCGACTCTCATATCAATTCAGCGATTAACGACATTTTGAAAATCCAAGAAAACCCGCTGAAAACACTCGGGTACGGCACTTTCGAGTCTTTTGTTCGAAATTCGTGGAACGAAAGAACATTTCAACTTACAATTCTAACACACGGGATGTATTACTACCACTTGAAGACGTGGTTCAATTTTTTTCCTCCTTCGCAAATCCACATTGTCGACGGAGAGAATTTAATCAAAAATCCAGTCTACGAACTCAAAAAAGTAGAACAATTCCTAGGTATCAGTGACGTCATAAACGACAAATTGTTCCGTTATGATAGCACAAAAGGCTTTTATTGCCTCACAGAAGGCGAATGCCTCGGAAAACATAAAGGTGTTTCAAGGCAAGCTGGTGGTCCAGAGATGTCTGAAGAAGATAAACATAAATTGAGTTTGTTTTTTAAGCCGTTTAATCAAAGATTGTTTGAGCTATTAGACAATAAATTTGATTGGACGTGATCGCAGCGTACAGACTATCGCAGTGCCGGCACCGGCGAGAATTGGATTGTATACTTTCCTATTTTGCGTTCGCTTGCCAAATATCTGTCCCGGGGGAATACTTACACTATCCCCGCTATGTTTAAATATCCGGGTCCGGATAAATGGAAATCTCGTCTCCAGTAATGAAAACAATTCACATTCAAGAGCCTTAGCCTTCACTTTGTTCCTCAAAACACTACCGCATAGATCACGTGCCGGTTCGGATAGCTGATTATAGAAAATACCATAGCCTTGGGGTGGGGAGGATGTAATTTGAGGGGCCATTGATCTCGTGATAACAAAATATTTTTTAATGCAATTATGCGGCATTTGCAGTGGGACATAGTTTTCTACGGCTTTTTCAACATCATTTTACTCTATTTCCAAACGATTTACTGAAAACTGACGTTTCCTGGCTTGCTATCAATCTTTATACGAAAAATGTTGCCCCCTCCCCAATTTTGGGGTGGGCAATAACTTTTGGTGGCCAGTTACAGATAATAGACTTGGTTACTGGACCGGAGGTAAAACTATGAATAAAAAACAGTTCATTCACAACAAACAGCTAGGCTAACGATTTTATAAATATTAAAAAGCACAAAGCAGCAATCGGGGTCATTGTGTCCTTATTTTCATCGACACTTCCAATGAAAATTTATGTCCATACAAATAAAAACTATAGTCGTAATTTCAACAGACACGAGTGGGATCTATGAAACACTCCGGGAGGTTCAAAACTCAATATGTAAAACAATGAGTGAAAAACAGTTTATTTCCAAAGTCTAGCCCAACAGCTGGGCTACAGTTTCTAATATAATAAGAAGAACAATGTAACAATCGGGGTCATCATGACGTTATTTTCATTGATATTTTCAACAGAAATTTTTATCCATGAAAACCATAGTCGTCATTTCAGCAGGCACAATTAAGCCGGATCCGGCCCGTGGGCCGTAATTTGCCCAGCCCTGCCCTACGCGGTAGTGCTCGTAGATAAAAAATCCTACTCGACCAAAGCCATTGAGTCAGATTTTTTTTCAGATTTGTTGATAATCGAAGTCCAAATTTCGTACAAGATTTTGATAAAAATCAAATTGATCAAGCTATTTCAAGTTTAATAATCAAAACTTGCATGCAAATTTGTATTTTCCAATATCTTCTTAGAGTTCAGATCTGAAGTTAACATTCCCAACTCTGTAAACACCTGCGACCTTCCCAGACAACATCTCGACGAAAAGTCACAGATTGTGGTCTATTTCGTCGTTGTAAGGTGCAGTTAATTCCCTCACCTTTAGACACTTTCCTAAAATTTCAAACCCCCACGCTAATCTTGAGGTGTGACATTACATTTTAATTTCTAACTTAAAATATAATTGTATTTAAATATCTAGAACGTTGTGTATATACTAGTGCAGATGGTTAGTCAAATACCCAACGCATTTTCATAAGTTACAAATAGTTTTGTCCCTAATTGCAAATCTAACGCACCCTAATTTTGGGGAACATACTGGCATGGAGTGACCCATAGCCACTATCTGAACAAGGTTCCATACAAGCAAAACCTTGTAGCAGATAAATTGATATGTTTGGAAAGCAAAAATCCCCCAGTGCGATACGGCTTACGTACGGGCCTTGGATTGAAAATATGTAAGTTAAGAGGGCGATCTAGCTATAACTAACGCAATTAATACAGCAATATCGGTTTTTCTCCCCAAATGAAACATTAAATAGGTCTTCTTTCAAACAGAGAACAACAGATTTTTTGCATTTACTATTTATATATATATGTCGGCTTATCTAGATCGGGTACAATAGATTAGTTTTATCAACAACAGATAAGATTTGGTTATACCGCTCATCGAAAGTCGTTGAGTCTTTACTGACTATTTCCGACAATATTGATCGAATAGGAATATATGTGTAATATATACAAAATTAAGGGCGAATCATTTTTATTGTTTTGCAAATACAAATTCAGTTTGTTAATTTACAGTCTTGGAGCGTTGGTTCATTCATTAAACCAAGTAAAAATCTTTGGTCAGACTGGACTCGTAGATGCTCATTGCTTTGCAATTCTTTCCATGTTCGTTCACCCCTCTATGATTCTTCATCTTGTTATTCACAATGGTAAGCATATCAGTAACATGCTTGGTCTTGTAGTACTTCCCGAACACTTCAGAAATATACCGAATAATCCAAGAACCGCTAGACTTACTATTGAAAGCTTGGTGGTTTAGGTGCGTTGGGTATGCAGTAACGACATCACACATTGATGGCATTAGCGTGTCTACTTTGGTAGTTTCTTGTAAATCTTGTCCCAAATACTCTTGATTTTCGATATGGTAAAATACACCAGTGTCTGGATAATCGCTGAAATCGTCCCTGTCAACACCACAATCCAGAATGCTTCCTCTGCAGTATTGAAGGATGAACAACTTCGGTTTGTCTTGCAAGTTCTTGGTGTTTTCGTTTCGAAAAATTTCTTGAATTTCCTCTGCTTTCAACTTGCTTCGGTCATTCCCAAATAACACTTCTTCATACTTCTTGGGATTGCTTTTATTCTTTTTTTCAGTGTTGACACTTTCTTCGCTTTTTGGGGTCTCATTTTGATCCTGTTTGTCAGTTTTGACGCTTGTATGTTCTTCCACGGCAACCATTCCCCCATGTGTACTTATCACCACAACCGCATAGTCACAATCTTTTTCTTCTCCCACTTGTCTTAGCAGCGTCCTCATTTCTTCGGCTGTTTTATCACAATGAACCTCTAATAGTTCACACTTCAAGGTGTCTTTCCACAATTTTTTCATGTTTTCTAAATCTTTTTTACATGCCTCTGTTCTATCGAGTGAAGTTCTAGCAAAAGTATTACCGATTACTAGAACAACACCCTTCTTGTTCTTAAGTGGATAGCAGTTGGCATTTCTTCGTTGGATGCCATCAGCATCCCCTTGAGGCATTCCAGTAATATTACTCGGATTCACTCGACCCATGTAGAATTTTTGTTTTATAAGATGCAATTGCTCAAAATTTGCATCAGGATTTTTTTTTTGTCCATTTTATAATGGTTTGATATTTTAATTCTTTGAAATCATCTCTATAATTCGTTTCAAACTCTTTCATCATTGTATCATCCAAGTCCAAATGCATTCGTGTGAATTCCCTCCATTGGCTCATATGGAAAATGTCAGTGAGCTGGTAGATATCTTCTTTATCCATACTTTTTTACCTCGTACTTTTGCAAGCTGCTTCCAACGATAGGCGCGCTAAGTAACTGTTCTAGAGCCACTCCCTATCACAGCTTTATAACGGAGAGTGGAGACACAAATTGTTCATAACAATATCGGATTTGAATTATGATATATCAAAACTGCCCATGTCTGATACTACCCAAGCCGTGAATAAACTTGGCTATAATCATTGTTTATTGTATTAAACACATTTTTTAAATCCGCGTCAAACCTAAATTGCTAGTATATTTTTAGTTTCACCGCAGGTTTTACACGATCTTATTAAAATCCGTCTTAACCATAGTTTATGGCTGAGATCTATCAGATAGCGTCCCACACAGTGACTCACTTTAACCAGGAAATGAGAAAGACAATGAGACTCGATATTGCCAGAAATTAGGTAGGCGTATCATTTACTTTGTATAATATTCATACCAGGCTCTTGCTAACAGTATTTATTAAATTATAAACCTTACATATCTCTCTGCTCTATCAGCGGTTCCTAACCTTTTTGTTCGTGCGACGCCATATTACCAGAGAAAACTGACGGCGTACTTGCACGAAAATTTCTGCCTTTAAATACACTCAATTTTGTGATTGTTAATGTGTACTGTATTCCTTTTAAAGTTCGTAAACATGTCGGAATAAAGGATATAGGCAAAACTCTTTTTTTCTCATCTATGCGTGAGTTTTCTTTGAATACTGAAAAAAAAATCAGTCATGTTCGCTAAACTCGGTTCAATTTTCGGAAACCACCGCTCTGCATGGCTTCACAGGTCCGAATTCTTTGGGGGCCAATCATGTGAGAGACGATTGTTGAACTCGTGGTCGTTGCAGGGTGGGGATGCGGTGACGGATTTTTTACTTGTTCATACACTTTGAAGAAGCAATCTGACCGACTCGCATTTCGAACTATTTTTAATTTGTCCGTGAATATGTGTATAGTATGTATACAACACTGCTAAATACCTAGAACAGCGGTTCCCAAACTAGCTTTGATTAATTATACTGGTTATTAGGAACGGTGGCGACTCGAATACGTAAATCTTCAAAAAAATAAATTAAATTGAGTTTAAATTATAATGGGTGAAGTTTCCTTTTTAAGATCTTCTCAAAGGAACAAAAATTTGCTACACAAAGAATGACCATGTGGCTTTTTCACGCATAGCAGTTTTGTACACTGTACAGCACTTCTTATTGTTTTCCCTGAAATTTAGACAGGATTTAGATTTATTTTCGTTTGAAGAATAACACCAGGATTTTTTTGGAAGAGGTCTTTTGTGGTCATTTATCGAAAATAAAATTACATTGTAGAAAATCACGAGATTTTTTAATACACATTATATAAAAACCGACATCCATTGTATTTATTTGTATTTCCTATACAAAAATCAAGTGACAAATTTCATAATTGTGATTGTGACATCATGCAATCTTAAATTGTGGTGTGATCTTCACCTTACCTCAGGTCATTGAACCTTTCCTCTCCCACACATTTTAAATTTATTTTAAGGGTAGGGTTTAATCAAAATCATTTTTAAAATTCAAATTAGGTCTTGTTTTCAGGCCAGGTCTTATTTTCGAGGAAACACGGTAGCTTTGCGATGATTAGCCATTGCTGTGTTCTGTCACAAAAAAATAAAAGAATATAAATGGGTCGCCATAAGCTGTGGTAATAAATAGTGGGTCGCAACTCTAAAAAGTTTGGGAACCACTGACCTAAAATGATATTGGTGAACTACTCCGAATTCGAAGTGATATTGCTGTATTTATTCCACGAAAACAACAAAATTTCTCTCCAGTTGGGAAATGCTGGCATAATGAATGTTACCTCAAGCAAGATATAAACAGTCACGTTACAAACGAAACTCTAGCAGCCGCTCACGACTTTTTTTGCAAAGGCAGTTTCAAGGCATTGAGGCAACGGTTTTTGTGCTTTTGCTAATTTTGGGTCATGTTTCCGGAGTCCCCCCCCCCCTTCGTGAGTCTTCAGTTGGACTCACCTGCGATGGAGATTCTTCAGTCGATGCCGTTTCCCAACTGAAGAATATCCTCCTCCCCAAATCCACCTAAGCCGATAATACCAGTTGATCCTTTATTTAACATGGACTAATTATCTGTTAGGGTTAGATGGTCTTATTTGGGATGGAGATTCTACAGTTGGTCTTAAGTGCGGTGGAGATTCTACAGTTGGTCTAACTTAGGGTGAAGATTCTTCAGGTAAATAGTTTTGCAATAATAAATTACGGAAGGAACTTGCAGTACAACCATGGGAAAATTGCAAGTAACAGGCATATCCGTCACGTTGGTCTGTTAAGCCGGCACGCCTGGTGTTGCCAGAATTTATTTCAAACAGTTATCTTTCCTCTGTTGTTGTAATGTATAATTATCATGTTCGAATTGTTTCAAGAGTTCTTGTAGTGGATCTATACGCAATTCAGTCTACACATCTACGTAGATTCGGGATTTTCTACCGCAGACGTACCGTAGTTGCTTTAAAACACGTTTATGTTCTGCCAGGTATTCGCCATCTGCGAGACAATGGATGTTTCCCCGACCCTTGGAAGATTCTTTTTATAATTTATCATTGCAAAATTTCCAACGTTGAATTTGAGAGTGTTTTGGAGAGTTGGCAAACTGGCTCACATTACCAAAAAGAGGCAATGTTTACAACCACGCTTGAATATCAGTCAGATATCAGAGCGACGGCAAAAATCCCAATTGTTACGTCATTGTTAACTTATTCCGTATTTGTTATCGTAACAGAAATAAACAAGGAAATCGATGCTCGAGGAAACCAACGGCCGGCAACCAACTTGCCTAATTTTGCGTTTATCACTGAAATTATATGAGAATCGAAGCTTTTGAATTTTGCGACCTGAATTTCGAATAAAATCAAATATTTTTACATACAGTATTAGTGGGCAATCAGGAAGTCGCAATGGCCTAGTTGTCCGAGCGTTAGCTAAATTCGGGGCATGTCCACCACTTTACATATGGGTAAGGTAAATTAGGTAGGCAGTGTCTTAACTGTAAAGAACCGCAAAAATATTCAGATGAATCAGCCTGCATTTTGCTTTCGGGAATGTTTTTGTTTATTTGCAGTAATCAAACATTACAATAATCCAGGAAAACGGAATAGACTAAGCTCTTAAATTAGCGGTACATTATCAGTCGCTTGGAAATTCAGGGACATGATAGCCAACTTTCATACGAATCAACAGAGCATATCGGCTGCTGCCAGAACCACTTTTTACCCTGATTTGAGGGGACGCGCGATTTTGCTTTGCATTCGCATGTGGTTGGGCGGTGTGTAATCTGAGGGATAGTTGTTTCATTGAGTCCCAATACTGTAAGTCAGTGTTTGAGTTTTAAGGTAAACCATAGACTAGATGCTGACTAAAATTGATACGATGTCAATTTTAAAAAATTTCCGAACAGGCACGGCAAAGAGAACGTTGCTGCTGGCAGTATCGGTCAAAGGTCATGAAAGTTGGTAATGGCGATTTTTAACTCGTTTGCATGTGAAATACTCGCAAAATAAGCTTTTAAAATTCTGCAATGGCAGAGGATGATAAGAATTTTTCAAAGGTATGTGAATTTCTTCTGCACGGAACTCACTTTTTTAACACACAGATAACAAAAAATGTCAATTACCCATTTACGTCCGTAAACTTGGACTGCCATATATACAGCAGGTTAGGAATAGATGCACGGCCCTGATCATTATTTTAGTGACCTCTTCCGTAGAGGGATATTGGACTTCCATATAGGCAGCAGGTTTATCAAAATGCTTTTGAGATTATTTTGTGTCCGCATTTAAGCATGGATGGTGTTTTTAGCAATAGAACTTTACAGTTGTCTAACGATGAGGGGATTGTGCATCTTTTAATATAGAAGGGCCAGATACAAATAACTAGCTGAAACCGCGGGCCGCAACTTTATATAAAATAGAATTAACTTAAAACTTTTTAGTAGTTGTGCGCCCAAAAATTAATTTTATTGATCTCATGACACACACCCCTGGTCTAACGTATTATACCAATCCTAACCCGACCGTTGACGTGGATACATCGGCCTTTTAATTCCCTATTCCAAAATAGCGTTCGCACCCACAATTGTCATTTAATAGAGCATAGCATGACAGACACTGATCTGCTAATCTTGAATAGATAAAAATGTGAAGTGTTTGCGTTTAAAGGGTGGCTTTGTTATTGAACTCGAATACATTTTGACTGCTCAGTTTTTTCCGTATACGTAAGTACCGAGTTATTTGAATGCTTGAACATATATTGATCGATAAGCCGTATTTCACTCAGAACAAGGCTCCGTACAATCAGCTACTGAAGTGTAAAGAGCTACCATTTTTGGAATATACACAATCTTTTCGCTTCTCAATTGCTTATACTTTTATTACACTGCCAGTGAGGTTGTTGTAATGAGATTTAAAACCATTTATGACACTGTATTTAGGCAACAATAGGTACAAACCTTTAGGGCGTTCCATTGAAGCGGGCTCATTCAATCCGTGTAGCTGATAACTCGTACAAATTAGACCCTAATATATATATGTGAGTGACAGTT